AAATCAATCTGGGAATTCTCGGCCTAAGTTAAGGGCCCTGTAGATTATGCAGATAAAAATGTTGATTATAAGCAACAAAGGGAGTTTACTGCATGAATGGCAATTTGTAGAGGAGAAATGCTATGTTAAGCTCTCCACACATTTGTTCCATTAATTATTCCAATAAGCTACATAATAAAAATTCTGAACTCACTTATCAACAAGCAAATCTTCTCAAGTTTCATCATAATGCATTTTTTCATTTTTCATAATGAACCAGGGCCAATTGTAAAACATCCCTTGAGAAAGCTATAAAATTAAGGTGTCCCCAGGAAACTTCCACATATGAACATTTGGAAACAGGAGTTGATCAAGATTTTCACGGAGAATTAGACATATTGAATCTCTCATTTGAAAATAAAGTTAATACCCATCATTCTCTGTGGTGTCTTCTGGAAGATCAAATAGTTCCACAGGTCCTTTCTTTTCTTCCTCTTTCAACCTCTCTTTTCCAAACTCTGAAGGATAAATCTACAAATAAAACACAGAGAAGTAAATTTTTAACTGTAGCAGCATAACGTACACCACTAAGAAAAAAATATCTTGCCAAGCCTTTTAGACTTTACATTTTTATCTAAAACCAGTAAAAGGACCAATGCCATAAACTTTAATGCCCTCTTATATTTAATTTACAGAGAAGGCAGTAGAATAAACAAACTGCCTGTTAGGAATGAGAATATTTTGAGACAGATAAAGAACTGGAACCCTGACTACATTCATTTCACTGTGGCCCTTTTTCAGAAAGGGGTATTTGACTAACGTTTCTCAGAAAGCTGGCGACAGACACTAAAAATGGAAAAAGGTAACTGATCAGAATTTAGTTTATTAGTAACTCAAAAGTGCTGAAAAACAAGAAGTGTTGTGCAATGGTAAATGGGGTTGGAATGCATTTAGAAATAGCCATATTTAAAGTTGGATTATCTACCATAATGACCACCGAAAATTAAACTAGCCAAGGAAATGTAGTCTCCCCTCCACTAGACTTTGAGAACTTCACTATTAGCATCAGAAAAACAGCATTTGGAGACAAACACATACACAAGAGGTTAACAGCTTTGGGATCTCACGCTACCAAATACATGCATATTTTTATTTCTAGCCTAGCAAGTTAAATAGCAACACAGTTTCTCATTTAACACTTTAGTATCTCTTTTTGTTCTAGACAGAACTGTCAGTCTTTGTTCTTATTTTGTAGGGTTTGTTTTGTTTTGTTTTTTTACAGTAAAAGCCAGTACTCCTTTCGGAAATCAGGTCTTACCTTAACAGAAAATACTGTTCCTCCTTTAGGCGTGAAAGAATTAAACAGAGCCAGCAAATCCTTAGCCTTCAATCTATCCCAATCCATATTACAAACCGCCAATCTACTTGTAATCTGAACAGAGAAAAAATAAATAAAAAAAAAAGGACAAAGTTCATAGGTTTAATTTCTGACTGCTACAGGGAATACACAATCCTAGCAGCTATCCTCGGTAAAAATCAAAGTCAGCAACGAACTGCTGAAAAGATAAAAGCAGCATTTTCCTTAAGAGTTTGTATCATTTAAACTAGAAAAAGTCAGAAGCAACAATCACCAGAGCAGATAAAAAGTACACATACGGTGAAGCATCACAGAACGGACTGCACCCATCACAGATTTAGTACTGCAGCTACAACACCGGCACTTGGGATTTGTTATTACGATATGGTTAGTCACAATAGCAACTACTATCACAGTACTATGCCAGCACTAGAATACTGTGATTTCTTATACACTACTTGTGCTCAGTTTGAAAGTCCTATCTCATTTTCTAAATGAAAAAAACCCAGTATTGAACAAAAGCAGTACTATTTAAATTCTAGAATGTCTAAAAAGCTCAATTCTACTTGTTCTCTATAGACAGCTTATCTACCTACAGGTAAGCTTCTGCTTAGAGGGGAAACACCAGGGAAAATCGCAAGTCTCTCATTCTCAGCCAATTTCATCATCACTTGCATTCTGTAACTAGAAGACTGAAAAACCTTTATGAAAAATACTTTCACACACTCTTTCGTAGATGAAGGTCTATAATGAACTCATAACAGTGTACGTTTCCGAGTTTGTCACGTGGCAACTTTTCGTGTGCAAAGCATTGTTACCTCATCTCCACGGGGAGCATCTTTATCTAGCTCGCGCCATGAGTGCTCTATCTCTGGCTCCTTTGGAAATACGTCATTTAAATCCTCATCATCCTCCGAGCTCGTTTCAATGTTACCTATGCCTCTAGCTAGATCAGGCCCACTATCACTTTCTTCATCATCTTCTGAATCACTATCTTCTTCACCCGTTTCCCCATCATCTTCTGGCTCCTCTTCTTCGCCTGTTCCCCCATCACCTTCTAGCTCCTCTTCCTCCGATTCTGCATACTCAGAAGCATCACTTGCAGAAATTTCTTCCTCTAACTGGCATTTTCTAACATCTCTTTGACCACAGGTGTCTGTGCATGTAGTCACTGAAAGATAAACAATAGATATCTATTTTTATGTTGGTATTACATATGAACCTTTACAAAGAGGAGAAGACCTCAGGTTTTCTTCACACAGATTTACTGAACCCCTAAAATGTGTAACAATGCAGGAACAAATTACACCAGGGAAGTGCAAACAACATAAATCATTAGCATTGACTCTTCAGCTTGTCTGATCTAATCTAATTGCTCTTTAGGCCCATAACTGCATTCTCAGTCTCAAGTTCTAATGAAGTAGTATTCTGTTATTCTATTTATATGTATAGAATCAACAGGTAGAAATTAGATTTCTATGATGTAGGCTACATGTATGCACAACCAATATAAAGAAAGCTTTTTCTTCAAGTCACCTGTTCTCTCTAATGCCCTCTAATATTAATGGTTTGATGCTGCCATCCTTATGCTTTCAGTCAGTAAGCACTGATATGCTGAAGCCTTCGTGGTATCAGACCTTATATTTGCTATTCAATTTGATAAATAGTGTGTACGCTACTATACATTTTACTTTTCGAACCAACCAGCAATTTCAGCTCCAGCAATTAAAAAAACATGGATCTTTATAATTTTACTGAAGAATCAGCCATGATTCTATACAAAGCTGACCAACTCCAATTCTTCAGCAACACTGAATCCAAGTCAACTATTTTATGATTTATTTTATGAAAGATCTCCCATGGATCAACAACATCCAAGTAAACCAGCCAAATTCTACTTGTTATTTGAACAACTAACCTGATTCTTTTATTTTTTCTCCTAGGGAATGGTCCCTCCTGGGAGCTTTAACCGATTTAGTATCACTTGGCTGTGAAGTCTTTTGCTTGTTTTGAACTGAAATTGATCTTCTTCCTGATGCGTCTCTGTGTTTGTTTTCCCCTTTGTGTAAAAGGCCCTTGTCTCCACAAGAGCGATCAATTTCTGTTGCAGTTTTCTTAGAGTCCTCTTTCAAGATAAATTGAGATGTAATTTTTTGTCCCTCGTTTTTAAGGTCACCTAGTTTTGTCACTGCTTCACATGTTTGGTCCACCCCTTCCTTGTTTATTTTGCTCTCCTCTCTAGACAGACCATCGGCAAGTAGTTTTGCAGAATCTGCTTCTCGGTTAGCTTTAGCTTTTTTTTTCTTTATTTTCTTTTCAGTATGTTCTTTGCTATCATTTTCTGAAAGATCAGAGTCAGATTCTGACAGGGCATAAAATTTCCTGAGGTTCTCTGTAGAAGTATAGTTAACAGGGCGACCTCTTTTATCCACCGTATATTTCAGCTTAAACTTCTTGTCATGAAACATAGCCCGAAATCGTTTGTCGATCTTGATTTTACGTTCTTTTTCAGGCATCTCCCAGAATCTGGGATCCCTGGTAACGCAGCTAAACCGCCCATCGCTCAGTATTTCCTGTTGCGATGACATTTTTGATGCTGTTGAAGACTTGGACATCTACAATAGGAAAACAAAACAAAACAAAACCACTTTCAATTAAAAACCCCGATAAACATAGATTTAGCAATGTAATTGAAGAAAAAATGTAAAAAATTAAGCAAAGTCCGATTTCTAACCTGTACCTAAAAAGTTCTTTCTAAAAGCAAATACGGCAATTTAAATGAGCCACGAGTAACCTTGCAGCTGCCACAGTCTAGGCCAGAAATCTCAGCTTCTTCGGGTAATGGATAGGCCACTGAAACGACCACACCGGCTGCACGTACAGCCCGAAGCGATCCCCGGTCAGTCGCGAACAGGACCTCAAGCTGTTTCATTATAAGCCAGACCTCGGGCTTTTACTTCCCACAGGACCAGAACGTTCCACGTTTCCACGCGCCAGTACGAGGAGGAGAGGGAGCGTTCTGGCGAGCGCAGGCCGGGGCCACCGGCAGCTCCGGCGCAGGCTCCCGGTGGCCCAGCACCCCCCAACCACCGCCGACACTTTCCCCCGGGGCGCCGGCTGCAGCACCCCGCTCCCCCCCCGAGCCACCGGGCCGGGAAGGCCCCGTGGGGGGCCCCACTCGCGCGGCCCAGCCCGTTACCGGCCGCCGCCGCCGCCCTTACCGCCCGGCTGCCCGCCCTCACGCGCCGAGCCGGCCGCTTCCGGCCGCGCTACGGCGGCCGCGGCGGGACAAACCACTCGCAACCAATCTGCGCGGCGCGGCCGGCGGAAGGGGTTTGTTGTGAGGGTTGGGGTTTTTTTTTGTTTTTTTTTTTTTTTTTTTTGTTAGGTTTGGGTTGGTTTGGTTTTTTTTTTTTTTTTGTGGTTGTTTTTTCCTGCGCGTGCGCCTCGGAGGCGATGGCCGCCGCGGCGGCGGGGGTGCGGGCGCTGAGGGCGCGGTGCCGCCCGGCGCTGTGGGCGGGCTGGGCCGGCGGCTCGGGGAGCTGCCGGCGGCTGCGGGCGCTGCCGGGAGGCGCCGCGGCTCCCGCTTCTCCTCCCGCCGGCGCCTCGCCGGGCCGGGGCCCTTTCGACAGGCGGCTGAAGCGGAAGCAGAAGAACTGGGCGGCGCGGCAGGCCGAGCCCGCCAAATGCGACTACCTGCGGGAGGAGGTGGGGGGCGGCGGCGGCGGCCCGGGGCGGCCCCCCCCGGCAAGGCGCGGGGAGCGTGGGGCCGCTGCCGGGGGGCCGCTGCCGGGGGGCCGCTGCCGGGGGGCTGCTGACCGGCGGGTTTTCCCCCTTAGGTCGGCGGCAGGATAGCGGACAGGGTGTTTGACATCCCCAGGTGAGGCGCGCCGCGGGGCGGGGGGGAGCGGGGCCCCGCTCCCGGGCCCTCAGGGTGACGGCCGGGGGGGGGGGCGCGACCCCCGGGAAGAGGCGCTGGGGTGAGAGCGCCTTCCTCGGCGGGAGCCACGGAGGGGCGCTCGGGGCGTTTGGTTCGAAAAGGTGTTTGAAAGTTGGTAGATAAAGCTTCGTGCGGTCTCAAAGCAGTTCTAAGTCTTGATCGTGTTTTACGTTGGTAAACTTGTCCTTTATGTTTTACGTTGGTAAACTTGTCCTCTAGAACTTTTCCTCTTGCTTTGGATGTTGGCTCTGGAAGAGGTTACATAGCCCAACATTTAACCAAGGTACTGGTTCTTCATGCTTAAAAGTGTTTAAAATAAGTACGTATTTATAACCCCTGTTTTCAGATAGGGCTCTGTTATGATTTTAAACAATCCCCTGGATCTTGATGAGGTAAATTTTCCCCTCCCCATATCTGTAGCTATGGTCCAAAGATGTGTATCGTGCAGGCTGCTATTCTACATTTATTGTCGGCGAAGGCTGGACAAATGGCAGGGCGGGGATGCTGTCTGTTGTGTGACAGTTAACCTTTAGCCTTAAGTAGGGACATGCATGGTTCTCGATCAATCTGTCCGACGCACTTAGGTGTTAAGGAGAAGTGTCATTACAGAGACTTTTGAGCTGTGAACAGTTTACCCTTTGTGAGCCACACTGTAAGTAAAGGTATTTCATTGGCTGTTAATCCATGATTTGTATTTGACTGAATTTATACCTAAAAACGCAGAGTGCGTTTTCTGTTATTAGTTCTATCTCAGCTATTCTCAGTGGGAGCAATTGCTGAGTACTGTTGGGGGAAAAACTGCTTTCTGTTTTATATAAAATTTTTGTCAAGTGTTGAAGAGGTTTTTTTATTCTGACATAAATATTTGTGTAAGCATTCAAAAAAATTACTAATGTCAACTTATAAATCAATTTAAAATATTTGATAGACTTTTAAAATTTTATTTCAGGAAACAGTTGAAAAACTTATTCAAGTTGATATTGCAGAGAATGCTTTAGTAAGTAGCTTTCTGAATGCTAATGTTCTTTGATTCCATAATACAGGAAAGCGAGAGAAGTGAGTTTCTGATCTTGTTTTTCTTCTAACCCAACATTAGAAAAACGCTGTAGAATCTGAAATCCCTACAGTCAGTGTTGTAGCTGATGAGGAATTTCTGCCTTTCAAAGAAGATACGTTTGATCTTGTTGTTAGCAGCTTGAGGTACGCGTTAATCATTTATTTACGTTTTATTTTTTGGTTAAAGATGTTAAATAATGTTCTTTTTCGAGTATCTTTAAGGGGGAAAAAAAAAAGGGAAAAACAATAAGATATATACTTGAATAGTTAATGTGAGTGTACATTAGGGAAAACTGCTGTTCTGGTGGTTCTTACTGTTTTGTTTGTTTGTTTTCTTTCAAAATACATGTATCTTTTCTCTTTCCTGCATTTTGATAAACTAGTCTCTAGGACTTGCATTTTCTCAACTTGGGAAAAAAAAAAAAAAAAGAAAAAAACTCAAAACCCAAAACCTTCTGGTTTTATTTAGTATCGCTTGTAGACAGGCATTTCAGAATTAATTTAATTTGTTGCTTTGGCTTCTGAAACAGATAATGTAAACAATTACTTGCATTCCCTACATTTGATTTAATATGCAATTATAAAATGTATGCTTCTGTTATTTCAGTTTACACTGGGTGAATGACCTTCCTAGAGCTTTTAAAGAGGTAAGAAAACAGGTTTTTAATACAGAAAATCAACACTTGCCATCACTTGCAATTAGAGCGCTCTGTATTTCTGTTTTTTCTATAAATAAGAGGCTCAGAAAGACCTCCTACTGCACACTAGCATTTTTTTGCAGTGTTTTTGACAGTTTGAGGAGCATTGGTTGATATTTTTAGTAATTTATCAAATCAATTTGGAATAAATAACTGTAAAACAACATGTTCATATAATATTTTATAGTCTCAACATCTGAGATCGTGATAACTGATGTAACTGATGTGTATGCTATTGATGTGTAGTGTGTGTTAGCTCTTACTATTTGTACTACAAGAGTTTTCTAAATCTAACTTTTTCAGCACTGGTTTATGGAACTTGTATTATTTTTATGTCTCAGATGTTTATTTTGAGATACAACTTTAATCAGGTAAAGGCTTTTTGATTTTGAAATGAGGCAAGTAGTTGCTGAGGACAGAAATCTGAAACTTACTGAAAAAAAAATCTGATTTTGTATCATTTCAGTTCCTTCCTGCAGATGCAAACTTTTTACAAATCAGTTAACTTTGGAGCAAGAGCAAGGAATATCTTAACCAGTTTGCTGTTTTTTCATTTATTTCAAATTGGTCAGTCATTACAGTACTACTCATCACCAGTTGGCCTGAATAGGAGTACCCTGCTGTTATGGAAATAATAAAAGTAGGAAATAGAATGCATTCTGTACCTTATATAATTTTTTCCAATATTATTTTAAAAAATTTTCTCTGGAATTTTAAGGGCTGTATGGAGTATCAAATATTCCCCCCCACCCCCCCCCAGTAAAAATGGCTAAAACGTTATAATGTCACACAGAGAGGGAACTGGGGTTCTTGGCCGGTTTTCATTGAGAATTTCCTACTTTGGGACCACTGACTTTAATAGAAACTGTCTTCAACTGCTTAAATGTCAATGAAAGGCTTCTTTATTAGCATAGAGAAGGTAACTTGATTAATACTTAATTAAAAAACAGTTTAAAAGATTTTTGTTTCAAATCAGTAAGGTTAACCGAAGCTTTTCCTGTCTTGTAAGCCTGGTTATGTAGTATGGCTCTTCTGGATACCTAAACCAGGGATCACTGCCAATTCTTAAGGAAAAAAGAAAGCGTCAGTTTATTGGCCTTGTCAGTAGGAAGGGGGCTAGGTCTTGCTAGACAAGAAGGCAGCTTGTTACCCTTGGAGTTTGAGTCACGATAATTGCTCTTCTGGCTAGTTAAAAATGAGTAGGGGTAGACATAATAAGAATTGCATTACTCTGTTGTGCATTCAGAGCTGCAGAGGTCACTACTGGAAACTAAGGCCTCCATTTCTTTTAAATTAAGCCATTAAAAAGTATTTTTGCTGCCCTCATCTGAGAAAGTAAAAGTAAGCGGAAGCAATCTACTTAATTTTCAGAAGTAAATTAATTGGGGGTATTGTTTTAGGAGTTGAAAATAGTTTTACCCTAGATTTCCACAGTGCATTTTGTGTTCCTTGATTATAAGTGTAGTTTCTGGGAATTCATTCTTTCTTAAGAACGAATAGTCTCTTTCAGACAGATTATTTATTTCGCAGTGTTACCAAAGCTTTGGTGCAGCTTGCTTTGTGGAATACAGTCAATATTAATAATCTGTTACAACTGTTATAACAATTGCTTTTAAGTTAATTAAAAAAAAAAAAAGCCCTAAGAACTTCCTAGTTACATAGGCTTAGTAACAAAACCCATTAATTTACTTTTTTCTGTGTTGTAGATTCACCAAGTTCTCAAGCCAGATGGAGTATTCATTGGTGCAATGTTTGGGGGAGACACTCTGTATGAGCTTCGCTGCTCTTTGCAGCTAGCAGAGTTGGAGAGAGAAGGGGGATTTTCTCCTCACGTATCACCATTCACTGCTGTCTCTGATTTGGGACATCTGCTGTCAAGAGCTGGCTTTAACACCCTGACTGTGGTAATTATAAATAAGAGAACAATGAGACAGAACAATCTAGAACATCAGAGCTGCTGGTATATAAAAAAATACTATTTACTAATGTATTAGTAATGTATTGCTTCCTTCTGCATGTCGTGCACCTTGCTGAATAAAGAGTGCGGACTGCCTGTGTTCTTGTCTTCACTGTGATTAATGAAACCAACTGAAGTGTATCTTTGGCTTGTGGCCCAGTATAATTTGGATGGTCTTCTTGGAGAAATGTCAGAGAATGTTAGACCTGCTTGAAAAAACTAATGATGCTCTTGCTGGTTTTTCCTAAACCCAAGAAGAAAATAATGACATTTAAATTAAAATGTGACTGCATTTGGGCTACTAAACAAAACTTTTCAGAAATGTTAAGACAGTATATTCTTCTGAGGAATACACGGTTTGAACAGAACTGACAGATGAATGGTCTGTTAGCAGCTCTGAAGGCTAGCATAATGCTACTGTTTTAGCTTGTTATGCTCTAAAACTAAGCTTCTCAATTCTTTTAGGATACTGATGAAATTCAAGTCAACTACCCAGGGTTGTTTGAGGTTATGGAAGACTTGCAAGGCAAGTATATACTTTTCAGAAACATAAATGTTTCCTTTATCAGTGATGCAGACACAGAAGAGTTTCACTGTTCGAAATCTTAGAATTGTTTGAGTTGGAAGGAACCTTTATAGGTCATTTAGTCCAACCCCTCTGCAGTGAGCAGGGACATCTTCAGCTAGATCAGATTGCTCAGAGCCCCGTCCAACCTGGCCTTGAATGTTGCCAGGAATGGGGCATCTACCACCTCTCTGGGCAACCTGTGCCAGTGTTTCACTACCCTCATCATAAAAAACTTTTTCCTTAAAAAGAAAGAAATAAATAAAGTTTATTGTAACAGTGGAAGCGTTACTTTTTTACGGATCTCTGGTGAGTCAGGAGATAGTGCCTGTCAGCAGATCTGTGTCGAGAAGCAGAAGTCAAAAATTTGCTGCTTCATGATCTGCTATGAATTTTCTGCTTCCCTTGTATTGCCATTCTTTTTGAGTCTGTTCAGTGTAAGCGGCTGAAGAGCCCTGAAAGGGAGGCAGAAGCATAAATCCCACATACTCCCTTTTCCTGTGAGCCTCCCTAATTATCAGGACAAGCAGGAAACTGCTTTGGAATCAGAATAAATAGATCCTCTAATTGGAGTCTGCCGAGGAATACAAAAACAATTGAGATGCTGAACAACTGAGTTAGTATTCTGATTGTATTTGTCATGGATTGTAAAGTAGTCAGTCATATGCAGTCAGATGTTACTTACAGAGCAATTCAGGGCATCTTCTTATTCTGGATGAGCTGTTGTTGTTTATAGTCGTTTCTTAATGAAAATAAAACTTTCATTCTCTGAAAAAAAACATTCAGATGCAATAAGTGATTAAAGAGATTAGAATTATGCTTATTTTTACAAAAAACCTCTTGGGATAGTAATTTTGATGCTTACCTGTTTCAAAATAATACGTATGAATGGTGTGTCTGAACAGTTTGTACTTGTGCTTAAAATAAATTGTACTAGAAAACCTAAATGTCTGAAGACTTAGGCTGAAGAAATAATAATTTGAAATAATTCCTAGCAATACAAGCTTTAAATTGCGAAGCATTGGCGTTAAAGGGCTTGGATTCTTATAGGTAAGAAATTCACCTAATTATTTGCTCTATGTTCTCTCTTACAGTGAGTTTCAGAGGATTCTTTATTTATTCTGGTTTAGTAAAAAACTGTCATTAGTGCATGACACAACTCATGGCATATGCTATATCTTCTTTTTCTTAAAGCTAAAACATATTTTTAGGTATGGGGGAGAGTAATTGCTCTTGGAATAGAAAATCTCTGCTACACAGAGAGACAATGTTGGCAGCTGCTGCAGTGTATCGAGGTAAGAATTTGAGAGGTAATGAGTTAATCTGAAATTACTGTAAGAATATATTTTCTATGTCTTTTTTTCTCTGACCTCTAAAAAAAAAAAAAACCAAAAAACAACAACAAAAAATATTTTGGAATAGAACAAAATACCATTATTGTACAGATATTTTTCACCTTAGTTATGATGATAGGATTTGAACTATGTTGATGCACCAGTATGAGATATTTTTATTGTCCCAAATCTTTCACCAAGAGTCATTATGATGAATATATCATATTTCATTCTAATGTTCTGAGAACTAAGTATTTCTTAAAACTGATGTTTTGTGTACCTGTTTTTTTTTCTCTCCCTTCCTGCCCTAACAGAAATGTATGGAAATAGTGATGGCTCAGTACCTGCCACATTTCAGATCTACTACATGATTGGCTGGAAATTCCACGAGTCACAGGTAATGTGAAGCTGAACTGTTTTCTGTTTGAAGGTACTTTTTCAATTACTGATGCATTAAAAGTCTTTTACAAAACATTTTAACTTAAAATTAGCCCTATTTTTTTTTTCCTTTTTTTTTTTTTAGGCAAGACCGGCCCAGAGGGGTTCTGCAACAGTTTCGTTGAGAGATCTGGCAAAAATAGATGGACTTATTTCACGAGGGAAAAAATAGCTCTTCATCAGAAATAATAGTGGTCTTGAAGCTTCTGTAAAAATACTTATTGCAGGTAGTCTTCACCTGTGCTTACTTTGTGAGGACATTCTGAAATTATAATAATCTGCATGTTTGTTTGTTTGCTTGGTTTTTTACTACCCGTGCTACAACATCATCTGTGTAAAATGGTGTTCATTTTTCATTTCTAGAGAAGTATTTGAGCCGTATTCGAAGTGAATACATGCTCTCCCAACTTTTGATTAAATTACTCAGATGTAATGCCTCTTCCAGCATTTCAGTATCACAGACTGCTCCAGGTATGATTTGCAAGTTTGAGTGTATATCACCCTGCATTATTTTTTAATTTTTCGTAAAGGATGGTGGATCATAATAAAGAGTTGTACTTGGTGGCAAGTGTATTTATAAGACATCCTGTAAGCAAAAATATCATCAGATACACAGATCTAAATTACTATGGGGTTTGTGTGTTGGAAATTATGGGTAAAAAGTTACTGTCGGTTATTGTTTGAAATGTGAATGTTTTATTCAGGTATAAGGAAGTGGTTGAGTAACTTCTGTATTCTAAAAATATCTCGGGTTGCTACCTTTCACCTACAGCCCTCAAATTCAATTACTTTTCCTTCCACCCCCAAAGCCAGGAATATTTCTAAACATGAACAGTAGAGATCAGCCTTAAGGAAAGTTGGATGCTTCATTGTAGCTTTAACAGAATGTACATATCCTGATTTGACTTAATTTACTGAAAGGAGGAGCAAGCAGAAGAGTCACCTCGCGCTCAGATGGATGTGTACGCTTCAAATCAACTAATCAGCTTAGAATTGGCGTTCTCTGGAGTTGATACTCCTTGAGAGCTCCAGGGCACGTTTTAACCTTTTAACTCACAGCTTTTGAAAAATCAAAGGTGGTACTCTATCTATTAGTTAAAAATTACATGCACACATTACTTTGTTTTAGCTATCAGAGAGTGAAAAGCAAAAAGTACACTTTTTTTTCTCTGTAGCTGTGACATGAAGCTATGATTTTTCCTGTATGTAACATTACCAGAAACTTATAGTAATTATATGGCTCATTAACCTGAGGTGTTTAGAAAAAATAATCCACCCAGAGATTTCACTTGACTGTAGTGCTGATAGAGAATGGTAGAAAAGAAAAGCTTGAAGAACATATAATCAGGTTTACTGTTCAGTCAGTTTTATCATTGTGCCTAGGAGGTGGATCAACACTGGTGAACTGAAAGCTTCTCTAGGCTTGTTGTTAAGGAGATTATCCAGCAGGTGGAGTTTGGCAGAATGCTGTGGCACAGAGCACGTAGGCAAGGTAGGCAGAAACCTTCATATTCTGTCAGAGATTATTGAATTATGAATCAAAGACTAATACAGATATTTAAGTTACCTCCTACTGCTTAACCAATACTCAATTTTCAAAGTAACAGAAATGCTGTTTATAAAGAAACTACTAATGCAGCGTTCAGCTGACTAAAAGATCAATTTAAGGGCATCATTAGTTTTTTGGGTTTTGTGTGGTTTTTTTTTTTTTTTTTTTTTTTTTTTTACCTACCAGGGTGTGACTTTAAATAAGAAATGGGCAGAGAAGGTACAAAACATCTTGATAAGGAGGGAAGGAATCTTCTGTCCTGCTTTTGCTTGCAAGCCTAACCCATAATTATTCAAGGGGAATGAGTTCATCTTTCATTTTCCTTAGAAGAGTAGCCCTCCTGGAAAAAGGGGGAGAAGCTGTACATGGTCTGACAACTTTTATAACCTGTAATATTAAGGCTCAATCTGAAGGAAGAGCTTGTCTCTCTGAAAGCCTTCATTTTTCTTCATAGTACATCAGTGGACTTAATACTAAGACACTGCATCTCTGACTTCAACAAAATTCACTTATTTCAAGGGGAAACTACTTTCCCAAATGTAGGTTTCTCTGAAGTTATGTGTCAAATGACTGTGTAACTTCATGGATTTTTGCTTTAGTAGGTTAATTTCCAGTCACTTGAGCTGGTGGTTGTGACTCAGATGTGTTAAGGGAATGAGGGGGTGGAATGTGCTGGGTAAATGTTAATTGGAGAAGTGTTCCTACTGTGCCTGTTTCAAGCACACGGTGAAGTTATGGAGAAAAGGAAGGATTTCCAGTTCTTATATTCCACCCATGGAATATGGAATCAATAAACAGTAAAGTAGGTAAGAAAGTGGTTGTTAATGGGGGAAGGTACCTTCTGGACAGGGAGAAATGGAAGAGTAATTTTCTTCCTAGCAGTTGGAAGAAAGTACAGGTATTTGGTTAACTTGGAAAAGGGCTGGGGTGTAATAAATGGGGCATTGGAGCAGTGTTGGTTGGAATTAGGGGGCATGTAACAAACAGATAATGTGGTCATTTCCTTGGCTGACTACATTTGAATAATCGTTTTGTTTTTGTTTTTTGTTGGTTTTTTTTTTTTTTCCCTGTAGTATTTCTTCTTGGAATTCTAGGTTATTCTGGTTTCCACTGACTACTTTCTTTGTATGGCACGTGTATGAATAGCTTTGAAAACAGTTCATTTACTATGAACAGATGTTTTTGTCACATAAGACTCTTATATTTTGATTTTCTTTTTAAAATATAAGTTGTTACAGCTTTCTGAAATTGTAAAGAAGAATGCAGTTGCCAGTTGCTAGTCTAGAAATTATTTTAAACTAAGTGCATGTTAAAAATCAGCTTTTGCAGAGTAAGTGACTAAAAAGTAGTTACTAAGATGACACGTCTCTTGTAAGCTTAGTTAGTTTTAAAAATCCTGATGCATAGGAGTCCTTAAATAACAAAAAAAACCCCCAAATTTTAGAAGCACGTTTACATTTAATGAGCATTAGTATTTTTGAGCCTCCAGAAGGTTCTGAGAGTCTGAGTCATGGATCAATGAGCATGCTTGTTCAGGGTCTTTGATTACAAGATCTGTCAATGTATAATTTTATGCAAGTCTACTTAAATTATAGTAGAATATAGGATATAAGCTAATGAGGCCTTACTGTTTGTAACCCAGGCATTAGATTTTGTAGTTCTATTCTTTCAGAAGACTGAGAATTTGTGAAACTGAAACATGGGAAAGGATTCTTGACTACATCTAATTTATAAAAATGTCATCAGCAGAAGTTCAGAAGTGAACCATACAAAATGAAACGCTTTTTTACTCTGCTTAAAAAAGAAAGAAATATGAATGACACTTCTCAGTGTTTCGTAGAAGTGAGCTAAAACTAAACTTTGTCATTTGCAGGGAGGGAGAAACACCAATCTTTCAAATAGTGTTTAATTGGAATTTCCTGATGCAAACATCTGATCTAGTCGATTAAATTCATTAGAGCGTCTTGTTCAAGAAGCCACATTAAGAAAGCTAGCATATATGTTAAAACTTTTAAACTTCCGTTTGCCTTACCCAGGAACTTGATATCTGCTTTTCAAAGACACCATCTATTCTGATCCAGATTTTGGAGCTATTATGTGGGGGGGCATACAGTTATTGTCATTGTCTGATTGGAATCAGTCTGAGTACTGAAGCAGATATGACCTGTATAGTTAGTTGGTTGGTTTCCTGAATGTCTTAGGTGCCCTCAGGTGAAGGAAAAGGAAAAAGAGAATAAAATATAAAAGAAAACCTGAGACAGTTAAGATTTAGCCAAAGGCTGCATATCAGTGTGAAGTAAAACACTGAAGAGAGTGCATGTGCTTATTGTAGGGGAAAACAACTCTTGGCTTAAATCAAGGTAGAATTCAAGTGGTTTGCTGATTTATTAATAGCTTGTAATTAACTGTTAGTCTGTGAGCTACACATGCAGGATTAATAGCAGCAATATAACAGAGAAATGACTGTACTAGACCTTTACAAAACCTTAGTAAATACCTTCAGTTATCTAAACAGTCTTCTACAGCAATTCCCCTGCAAGTTTGCAGTTCCATGCTCACCTCTATCCTTTCAACAGGAGGTCTGGGTTACAAGAGCCCAACCTTCCAGGCGTAGTTTGCCCAATTTACATCCACCTTCTTTGGAGACGTGGGTGCTGCCCTGCAGGCCTACGGGCATCGCTCCCTGCCCTCCACCCTCCTGCTGGGATCATGCCCCACGGGGTGATGTGCAGGCACCCCCCCCCCCCCCCCCCCCCCCCCCCCGAGCGCCAGCTGCTCCTGGCTGCTGGGGGCTGTGCCCCCAGGCCTCAACAGAGCTTGACACACCAGGAGGGCATCTTTTCGGGGCCAGATCAGGTTTTGGCTGCTTCTCTCTTCTGTTAGGAATTTTAGTGCTTTTTATACTTGATCGTAAGCTGGATTTCCTCCCCCACCCCACCCAAGGTCTCTTGATAACTGCCCGGTTAGTGTTTAATATGCCTGAGGGTTGTCTTCATTTTCAGCCTTACCAGGTGTTGAGCAAACACTCTGTTTTGGATATTGTGTTCACACACATTGCACTCCTATTTCTATCTTAGCAGCTGATGTTGTCCAGGCTTTTTGCCAAGAGGAGGCTATGTGGATTTCCCCCCCACGATGTGGAGCTGGTTCGTGGGTACAAGGTACATTCATAAAGTAAGAGACAAAGTCCTTCTCAGAAAACATGTTTCTGTTTGGAACCTTATGTTGGACCAGTGACGGTGAATGCTGGGGGATCTTAATTGGCCTCAAGGTGTTCATGATAGGCTAGAATGTGTCACAATATAGCACTTCTCTTATGGGAATACATAAAATAAGGAAGCTTAATTTTTACTACACTAATGAAGCCCAATTCATGCATTTGTCTGCATTCTGTAGGGATTCCTTACACTTTGTGCAAGTAGAAGTGCAACTTGAAGTCAGGATCTGCACATTATGTGTGACTTCTGATCACTGGTCTATTCTTTTAATATTGCAATCAGAGCTTGTGTTAGTACACTAAGAAAACAAAGAGTAAAGCTACCCTTGTGAGTAAACTTATTTACCATGAAAATTTCCATACTTCTGATCAAATATAATTGCTGGTTTCACAGATGACAAAACTACTGGGACAGAAATGCAGTGGATGCTTTTCTGCTTTATATAGCACCACCTTTTTAGCCAAATGAACAACCTAAAAAAAGTGACTATATAGTGTATGCATTCATTTAAATCATTTGAAGCTCTAATCCTAAACTTTATACTTCTGAGGTCAAGTATAATATTAAGAAATTACTTATTCTGTGGAAATACTATCCAAGATGAATATTTTCTGAAGGGAATCTGATGGGTAGTGGGTAACTACTTCTAGTGTACTGTACATTAATAGGTAGTAATCTCAAGTATTTGTTGATACTGGATTTGCTGTACTCTGTTTTCTCCCTGAACCAAGCCACTGTTGGATGTCTGTAATGACCCATTTTTAGCTCCTCCATCATCTTATCTCTACAAAGTATATACTGCTTCAGCAGCCAGGTGGCAGGGGCACCCGTTCTTGTCAAAAGCTACTTTAGGAATGTTAAGTCTCCCACTTCTTTTCTACTATATATGCCATTTTTATTTTTGTGAAAATCTATTAGTTTATTCAAGTTGTAGAATTACTCACTGCTTTAATTTTATGCAGAACTTACTGACATTTCATACAGGACTTCTGATGTTATTTTCTACTATCAGAGTTGCTTTCAGTTTTGTAATTAAAAATGTAATTCCCATAAAGAACCACTTCAGAATTGGTGATTATATTTCCAATCCATATCTTTTGTGACTCAACAGCAGAATGCCCAATCTTACAGGAGTAATACTGCTGTTCTAAGGCAACAGCTGTAGCAAGATTTAGTTGGTGAACTAATGCTGAACTTCATAGGTAGCCAGGTTCAAAATAGAAACCAAAGTCATAGCTTAGTATCCATGTAACATACATTTACGTGACGTCCCATCCATGCCTAATTTTTCATCCCTGTATTTCTTCAGTTACCTATAGTTATCTCTGGAATTCCAAAAAACAGCAGAGATGTAGCTACTGCCAAGAGGTTTTGTTAGTCACATCTCAAACAAAGCAATCCTTAGATTATTTTGCCTACAGGAGTCAACTCAGAAGGCATTCTCAGGAGGAACTGTGCTGCTCTCGCAGCACTGTTCAGTAAACAGACATACAGCACTTGTTTGATGCATGGATGACTGATCTTCGATCATCACCTTTTGCAAAACAAACTAAAACATCTGTTGTTTTTTTATATGTGAGCTTTCCAAATAGTAGCTTATGGTTTTGTTTTTTTGCTCCTGGCTCAGTGAATCTTTATTGCATGGAAAGTGGAACTCTGAATGGATTGGATGATGCATCTATATTCTGGACATTTTACAGCATGATGGCTGGTACTTTTTGGTAGCTGGGAGTTAATTATCCCTCGTTCAGAAGATAGACTTGAATTTATAGCTTCTGTAAGTCTATGGTTAGCTGTCTGAAAGATACGGAGTCAAAAAATAATAGTAGGATTATTTATTGGCCTCTGAGATATGTTCGGAGTAGACTTAGTTGTTCCACTTCGGGGAAGGGGTCAGGTTTATGAACCCAAAGCCTTCATAAGTTCAGGGAAGTGTTTCCCTGCAGCTCCCCACAGAGAGTTGTTAGATCTTCGCAAATAAGAGATTACTCTGTCTCTGCACTCCTTGCTTGTATTTTCTACTGAACAGCTTGAATTTGCAAAACAAGCTTTGCTAGATCTCTGAACAGTCACACAGAGACCGTGCATAATTGTAGAAACGTTGAGATGGAAGTCAGAGTCCCTTAGCTGTCAAAGGATCGAAGAGGTAGATGTTACAGTACTGAGTACTGCAGCATAAAGATGCTTCTGTACACCTGTCTTCAGATGCTGCTTTTGAGTATTGCTGAATAACTCACTCCATTTAACTGTACTGTAAATATTATTTGTTTTCTAGCAGTTAACCATCTTGGAAAAAAATGAATGTGACTTAGTAAGTGTAACACTTGAGATGAATTTACAAATGACTTTTGGCATAAGACAAATGTGTTTTAGCACTGCAATTTGTATGCCTGCTCCCTGCATGTTTATTTTCAACCTCCAGTTGATTAGCTGTTTTGTCTTGTGTACAGAAATGGCCTGTTTAATGCAGTGGGAAGTCAAGTAGAAGCCAGGATTTGTTAATGGGTGCTTAGAACAGGCACAGTCATACATTTTAAATTATTCTAACTAAGCAGTAATTCTAATTTATTTCTAAAGATAGAAGTATAACAACCCGATTACCTAGTTTCCTCACAGGCTGTAATGAGTACAGTTAGCATAAAGTGGTCTATAAATTTAATGGGCAATTTCCTATTGTGTGGACACTGAAAACACTAGCAAAATTGTGGCAAGCTAAAGTCTATATAGTAACTTGCTCCCATTGGATGCTTCCTTGACAAAACACATTACTGTAAAATATCAATTTAATCTGTTCGGTACAAGGAGTTTTTAAAGTATCAGCTCAAACAGGGATGGTAATATTGTTGAAAGTTCTTTCAAGAAAAAAACCCTTTTTTTGTCTGGATTAGCATTAGATTTTTTTTCCCCCTTTTTAACATGGTATTATTATGACTGTATATTCAAACTTGTAATATAGATCCAGCTGTGTATAGCATCAGGCCAGTTCTATATGTGCAGCCTCATAAAAATAGTTGGATCAGTTCTTCTAAATACAAACAATACACATAGATGATAAGAATACATGTTAATACTCTGCTGAAAGGGGAAGGGGTGCTGGAGTGCCCCTGCTGATACGGAGATTCTCAAACCGCGATTCAGGCAGCTGCTGCTGCGCACAGGTCCCAGCAGTTGTGCAGTTTGTTGGATGTAACCAGGTGTGGGGCACTTTAGAATTTCTAGCTGATAGAATCCAGAGGACACTTTTCCCTCGCTTCTAGAGCTGATTTGTTAATGATGGGAAAAACTCTTTGTGACCATGTCTTCATACAGTACAGTAAAGAAAACAGAGAAAGACATAGCTAAGTTGCGGTGACCTGCCGAGACTGAAGTGGTAAAAATTACAGGCCATGAGAACACATACTCAGTAAAACATGAAGTTTCTTCTACTTTGGCTGTTCCCTAGAAACTGACTAAACAAACAAAAAACCCCGAGGCTTGAAGTATAGAACGAAGTGTTTCAAAGTATGTTTTCAAGATGGACTTTTGATTTCACCTCTGCAAGCAGGTAGGCACTACTGGAAACAGAGGTGAACATAAAAGACTTTTCTCTATCGTGGACTTCTTGATCATGAAAATGCTTTAATTACTTCAGCAGTGCATCCATTTTAAAAGTGCTTTAATTATGTCGTTCTGTTAAGTACATTGAATAAAACTGTAACTGTGACAGTAGCAGCAAGTTATTTCTTGTGCATTAGAACACCAGTTTAGTGGCCCTGACTTTCCTAGGGATTTATGCCCAACCACACTTTTTCCTACCTGATAACTTTGTACAGCACACTTGCTTGCCTTCCTCTTTTTGCCTTAGAATGCTGACTGAGCAAATGGAAACACATGGCTGATCCCGGGATGCTTTTGTGGACTGGCGGGCCGCTATGTGTACTCTTTGGCTAGCAGCCTGCCAAACAAAACAGGCAGCGTGTTCAACTGACTTGTTTGTAGGTCCATTAAAAGATGTATCTTTACACTTCTAAGACTTAACTGGGGGCAATGTAAGTTATTTTATTAAAATGTATTATTTGCATACACTATAGAAAGAAACACAGTCTCTCCATTTTTGAAGTACGTGAAGTTTGATCTTCATATTGGTCTCAGTTTAACAATTGCATTCCAGGTTAAACCCAAAGCATTTTAAACCTGGGGGACTTCTAACTTTAGTTTACTCAAGAAATAGTATTTAAAAGCAGGTTTTAAAATAAAAAAAAAAATAATTTGGTTTTTGGTTCTTGAACTCAATGTGAACTTCTCGGCAAGGAGAAAAAAGCATGGAGCAGTCTGCTGGCCTCCATCAAACCGAGCTGTACTCTCCTAAAATAGAAATTCTTATGCAGTAGAAGTGTACTCAGGTCTTTTGTTCAGACAGGGTCACTGAAAAGGTGGGTCAAAGTTTTAAATAAATCTCTTCAGGGAGTATATTCATATCTTATCCAGTAAATCACTGCATCTCTCTTCACTAGTAGCTAAAGAGTAAAGATCTTAATAAGGTGGAAATGAAAATGTATTCCTCCTGTAAAGTGCTTTGGGGCTGACAAAATAGAAGTATATGTAAGCACAAAGTGAAGCCCTGCTTTCCAAAAAGTTTCAGATGGAAAAAATGGATATGGGTGAGTTTGGAAGCTGGCTGCAAGGCCAGGTAAGTAAAGCAGCATTACTGTTTGTAAGAAGATTTCTGTTGCAATCCAATACTTGAGGTTTCTTTCTTTTGTTAGCACAGGTTTTCACCATCTGTTGGAAGTAGAGCACTTCTGCTTTGTAATGAATGTAAATATCTTGAAATGTATCTGCTGTGTCAATACTGTCTTCCACTTGCCTTTTCTTACATAACAGAGAAATTAAAGCTAAAGGGGGGAAAAGGTTACTAAACCCTACACACAGCTTGAACTTTTAGGTGAAAGTGGGAATGTGATGTTAAGGGGATATACTGCTTGGGAAAGATGCTTCAGTGTTGCAATGACGGTAACAGTAAAATAATCTATATTCATATAACTTTCTTAGGTCACAGTTTTTCTGTAGAGTCATTCTTACAGTGTTTGGGTTGCATACAAGTTACAGCTCAAGATTTGCAGCGTAAACCCCAGCACACAGCTATATGCACACAGTATGCAATCCTCTTCGTGCCGCGGTCGGCAGTCAGAATAGGGACCTACAGTGACCTCCATTAGCCACCCATGGAAGTCCTACAGCCATCTGATCCTAATGTTTCCCTAATAATCCTATTTTCAGCAGTGTTCTTATGGAACAGACTTTCTAAGTATATACCTCATTTTAAAAAAATAATTCCAATACAGTGCCATTAACTGACAGTATTTTTACTAAATGGTACATACAAGAAGAAAACCATTATACAGTAATGAGGACATTAAAATCAGTAATCTGTTGGCCATATATGGTTTGTATTTTGTAAAACATGCATCTCATTTTTTATAATGGATTTTGCAGAAATACAGAATGTGATTTTTTTTTTTTTAATTTTTTTTTTAATTATTTTTTTTTAGTATCTATATTTGCAGTTGTTGTCACATTAAGGTTTTTTGCAGCTTGTCCAGCTCTGTGGAATACAGTTAACTGTATGTTGCTGACTAGATTTAGCTTTTTTCTCAAAAGGCAAAAAGGCATAATTATTTATAAAACAAAGTATGAAAATCCCTGTTCTGGTAATTTTTACTCAGCAGTGCAGTATAAATTGACCACAGGAGGATGAAGTTTGCGATTGAAGGGAAATGTGACTTGAAAAGATGCAACTGTAGTAGATGAACGTGTGTGATAACCATGAAGACCTGCCTCTTTCACCAAGAAGCAGAATAGGAAAGACAAGAGAAGGAAACTAAGGAAAGAAGGATGGTTCACAACTTGTATACTGAAGTTCACCTTCAAAACTAATGACAAAGACTTAAAGGTATTACTAACTCAAGATTGAAACAAGTAAAAAGTAATATTTTTTTAATGGTACTTAATAATTTAGATTTCCATCTGTATTTTTCCTTTTCATCTTTTCATGCCCTGCCTTCCCCTTTACATAGTGTAGACAACTCTCTGCTAGTTCTTAATTTTCAAGCTGCGTTGCTTGGAGGTATTCAATCATAAATCACAATGGTGTGTTTCTTTCCATTTACTAAATGAGAGTACACATAATTTCTGCATTGAATGATAAGTTAGGTTGCCACAAATGCTTTGGCTTAAGACCTTGACATTCATTCCCTCTCCACAGGCATTAATGTCAGAAAAGCTCAATTGTTTGAGCAGTCACATGGAAAGTAAATGCAAGAAGTGCCCCAGTATGACTGAAGGAAATTCACTGAAAAATTAGGAAGAAAAAAGGCAAAAAGGGAAGATACGTGTCTATAGAAAAGGAATATAGTTAGACATGGAAATAAGCCTTGTAGCTGCCTTGAACTCAGGTATTTTTGGTATTTATACAGAAATTAATTGCTCAGTCACATGTATAATCTGACAGTAGGTCACACACGAGCCTGGCTGGAACAGGCCTGAAACTTGGACCTCCAGATTACCAAATTACTGCAATCTGTGATTTCCTTTGCTGCATGAATTTGTTACTGGTTTTTAAAGCTGGCGATTATTACCATATGCTACTCTGAAAGGGAATAAAGGGTACAGCTGCAAACAGTGAAGCTGGCATTTATGGCCAGCAGATAAATAATGGCATTGTTTTTAGCAGTTCTAGAAAGTTACAGGGCTGGAAGTACCAGTTTAAGGCAGCAGGCTCCTGATGAATATGCCTCTGCACAAGAAGAGCAGGAGGCACAAAGAATTGAACAATTAATCTTACTCATAGTTTCTGTTTGCTCCGTGTAGCTCAGGCCCTGAAGTGCAAAATTTGCAAAGTGGCTTGAAAGTTTCTGCTATTTTTTTTTTTTTTTTCTTCCCCCCTATGGAATGAAAGCTGTCCATAGAAGCATATTTGTTATAGTTGCATGCTCAGTTTGAAAATAGAAGGGCCTTCTGAGGGCAAAGCCTTTGTTTTGGGACATGAGAGCATTTTTGCTTCCTCTTCTTGTTACCAAAACAAAAACTAGTATTACACTAGTAACATTTGCAGCTATGCCAGGGAAGGTATGTTGCTTTCACGGAATTGCACATGTGTAACTACTTGAAACTCAGGGGAAAAAACTAAAAGTGGATGGAATCCCACTCCACGTATCATGGTTATAGTAGCTCCACAAGGCAAACTGTAGAGGGGAGTCAGAAAATTCTCCTTCATTACCAAATGGTAGGTAGAGCCAGAATACTATGAATGTACCCAGAGCATAACTGAATGCAAGCTTTCCGGCTGTACAGTTCTGTTTTCAAGTGACTTCTCTGCCCTTGCAAATAGGTCTTGGAAGTGGACTAATATAAAAGTTTGAGGGGACAGATGGTTGAGACACATTAAATATATCTCCATTTTCGCCATGTTCCCCAGAGGAAGACAACTATGCTAGGTTTTACTTAGCTGATGTTACAGGGGTAACTCTGAAATCATCCGATACCTTTTTGGCCCAGTGTATTGAATGCTGACTCTACAGCAATTACAGCACTTCTTAGGTAAACACTCAGTGGGAATTGCCAAAGGAAGAGGGTAGTCCATGGAGCATCAGAGAACCAAAGAGCCAAAAGACTGGCACAACTGACTTTCCTCATGACGTGTTTCAGCGTGTTCCTGTCTGTGTGTCCCTTCAATCCTCCCTTTTTAATTTTTCCTCGCATATGAGATTATACCTTGCCAAGCCTCTTAAATCATAGTAATAAAACAGCTGTAAAAATTCAAATAATAAATTACTGCATATTTCTTTGTTAATTTTATATATTTTGTAGCTTCACTGTGGTCCCATGTTATTCATGGAAGGACCTAATCCATGTTCATTGATATATGCCAAACTGAATGTGGATTGAGTGCTGATGTGATTAGCTGTAATATAATCTGTTCTGTAAATGTAGGAGTCATAACTGCTGATTTCAAATTTAGAAAGGATTTCTGAGGAAAAAAAAAGTTTTGAACTTTTTTTCCTGCAGAACTTACCAAAGTTTTCTTCCTTTTATCTGGCTTGAAAATAAAGATACATGAAGAATTACACTTTCTATGATAAGAATATTATGATTTGTAATCAATAGGAGAGAAGTAAAGAAAGAAAAAAAGTCTTTACTTAAAATCTGTAGAGGTTATTCCAAACAAGAATAATATTGGATGAAGGTGTCAAAGGACTGACAGAGAACACTATAAAAAGGATTTGGAAACAGGGCATTTGGAGTGGAGAACTCAGGTGGCACCATAGGCTAAGCTAAAGCCAGAGATATCAGTTTAGGTAAGAGTAGGAGAGTTCTGAAGCTGAAAAAGAAAAGCCTGAATGTGGCATGAAAGATAAAGTAGTGACAAAACCAGGTGCTAAGGGCAGGGGATAGTTGGCAGCTCTATTCCCAATAAACCAAAGAATACAGGGTGACAAGCGGAAAAAGTGGTAATGTCAAAAATATCTACTAGTGTGTCAGGATCAGAGAGAGAAAGAAACAGATTTAGAGAACAAGGTGAAAGGAAAGCAGGTAAGATTTAGCAATAGCTTAGCTAAAGGAGGAATAGGTTTGAGCATTCTGGTGATGGAAGAAAAGTAGTTTGACAGAAGGGAAAGAGATCTAATAAACTGGATACTTTTTTTGTTGTTGTTGTTAGTTAGCTGGAGGTGAGAAGGCACACCTTTGATTCTACTGCTAAAAATGGGAGCTGGGAATAGAGCCAGTAGAGGTTTAGATCCCTCAAAGGCAAAAATGACTTTTGGAAATGCTGAGAATAGGTGATGTCATGTAGGTGAAAGAGACAAACTGCACCAAAAGAGCTCCCATCAAGGCTGCAGGAAAAGGAAAGATGTCTTTTATCAGCTTATTCAATGAGATTAAGTTGGAGGAGGAGTTGTTATTACTTCCCTTTTCTTTTTTGACATTATATAGATTGCAATATAGGTGCAATCATCAAAAAGATTTAAAAAAATATTGTGAAGATAAGATTTGGACTTTGTCAGTATTTTCCTGGTTGCTTGGTTAAGTCAAATTTCATTGAAGGAAAGGAAAAAGTATGCTGTAGATTCAAAAGGTTTAGAACTAGCAGGGCAACGAGATTTACTTCGCTATACAAACCACTGAAAAAGTTTTGGAGAGAGGTTCACTGCAGCAGGTTCGGGAGTCAAGATGAGAGCCTGGATGGAGCGTGGTGTAGGCTGACTGCTGTGTGTGAAATTCAGGGTAAGCTCAGTATCACTCCACGCTGTGAATGAGGTTGAGTTTTAGTGCCCAAGGGGTGAGGGGAAAATAATTCTCCTCTCCCGGAGAGGATGAGAAGTGACTCCGGTGGCTGTTTCTACCTGCCTGAGAGAAAGTCTGTAGCCATTGCAGGCAAGAAGTCAGACACAGTGCCATGGCAACTGCTACGAGACCCAGCCAGGCGGCCTCTTCTTGCCTTCTTAGGTTACGTTTTTCCCATCCCATTGCTCTGAGAAGTGTTGTCATCCCTGTCCTATGTCTTGTCTGTCCCATCCCCCTTTCCCTTCACCCCTCAAATAATTGCTGCTTCTGCTGTAAGTGAATAAAAATGAGGAAAGATGTCATACAAATTGTTAGTCAAAGGTAAAAGCACACACAGGGATTAAATCACTTGAAGGCATCAACAGCAAAATTGACCGTTTTTAACGGGCGGATGAGGAAGCATGTTTCTGTTTTCTGAGTAAATACTTCACTGTTTGGAAGGAAAAGTTAAGTCCATCAGTAGAAGCATTTCTTAGATTGATTTAAGGATACAGGTGAGGAAGTACTTAAGGATATCTGTTTGCTTCATGTTGACAGCTTCATATGATACAGCCCGTTAGTTTTCGAAGGCTCCAGTGAAGTCCTGTTTGCTTGAAAATATCTTGGAATTTTTCGTGTTGATAGGTAAAGCCTTTTGTGCCTAGGGTCTTGACTATTTCAGGGGCTTCATATCTGTCTTTGTGCCATCCCCTCACAGGTGAAGCCTGAATGACTTCAGTAAAGGACCCAAAAGACTTTTAATCCTGATCTGAGCTCAAAGTCCAGAGAACCTACCACAGACCTTATTTGCAATTGTTAATTATTTTAACTTTTTAAAATGGTGAATCTTCCCTTCAGCCTTAAATGTTGAGATTCCGGCTGTTGAATTGGTTAGGGATTGCTATACAGGACTGTTGCCCTTCAGAATCAAAAATTTATCCAAGGGTGAATGGTGATCAGATAATATTTTAACACGCTTGAATGAAGAATGAAGTAAATGTTTCTAAAACTTCTTCTTGAAATAGTATTTATTTGAACTAATTACGGTGTATTTAACAAGGACCATTTTTTTAGCTATTTTCCTCAATTTTTAATTTCCTTCAATATTTTGAGGGAACAAGTTGACATTTTTTTCTGGTAGAGATTCATTAAAGACAACTTTTTTTTTTCTTTTACAGTTTTACTGATTGTAGATATACAGACTGTACATGGCAGTTAATTTTTCATGCAAAGAATACTCATGTATGATGATTATGTAAATGATTAGTATGGTTGTACAACCTGAGGATGTGAAAACCTGCTATCTGTCCATCATTTTTAATATGCTTAAGGCTTTATAGTACATCTCATTTTGTGAACTGATGCAAGAATAAATCCTTTGAGCAGCACCAAACCAAATGTGGATTGATTTTACCATTTTGGGAAAGAAAATATGCAGTACAGAAGTCTTTAGAGCAGCCTGACGGTTAAAAAGCACTTTGGTAAAGCTGAACAGAAAACTAGCAGTAGAACTAAGTGAGATTTTACACTTCTGCAGCACATCTGAGCAATCAGCCAGGCCTTAGTGCTTTAATATGCATAATTTATTCTATGGTTTAATGAGATCTTGAGCTACTGGCTCTGAAGATTGCTAGCACCCTGGTGAATAGCCTTTCGGACTTCAGGCATACAATGAGAATTTTCTTCCTCCTTAAATTCTTCAACTTCTTGGATAGAATTTGTTATTTCCCTAAATAGAAGCAGCTGCCACAAGTCATTATATATTCTAGTACCCCTTTCTGTTATATTTAATTCTATCTCATTAAGCGGATTACCTGGTTTCCTCTAGTAATTAAGTGCAGATCAAATATTATACTGCAATATTATATTAAAAACATAAGAAATGACACCTTTTCAGCTGCCATTCTGAAATTCATAAAGACAGAAGAGCTATAGACAGAGATATAAAAACTTACCTTCTTATAGATGTAATAATAAAGTCAGAAATATCACAGGTGAAATGTGCTCTGTTCTTTCCTACTTGAATTCCAGTTAAAGATAATTCTTTCTTTGCCCATGTTATCCTTTCAGTTTCTGGGTAATGAAGAGCTCCTTTGAAGATTTCTGTTGGATATGGGTTATCTGGACACCAGCAAACTTAAGTATTAGTAGACCTCAGGGAACAGAGGATAAAAATGTAATTCCTAGTAGGGGCTTAAGTACTGATTTGGTAAGTAATTGTTTTATTTTGTAACAAAATAATATTTTTATTTCCACTAGCTACTTAGGGTCAAATCAGTCTATGAGAATTACTGATAAAAATTCTCTTGCATGTTTTAAAAGTTGATCAAGACCCAAGATTGTGGACCCAAACCTTTCTTCATATGAACCTGCAGAGTCCCAAACCTAAATTCAACCAATTTAACATCAATCACATAACTAAGATTCTTCAGACAAGACTCTCTATAGAATTAAGAGATGGATTAGTTGTTCTAGAGATTTGATTCCCACTTCTGTGTCTGGCATGATCATGGAGTGGATTCTCCTGGAAACTAGGCTAGGGCACATGGAAAACAAAGAGGTGATTGGTGCCAGCCAACATGGCTTCACTAAGGGTAAATCGTGCCTGACCAATTTGGTGGTCTTCTACGATGGGGTTACAGCTCTGGTGGGTAAGGGAGGAGCAACTGATGTCATCTATCTGGACTTGTGCAAAGCATTTGACGCTGTTCCATACAACATCCTTGTCTCCAAATTGGAGACACATGGATCTGATGGATGGACCGCTCGGTGGATAAGGAATTGGCTCGGTGGTCACACTCAAAGAGTTAAGGTCAACAACTCAATGTCTGAGTGGAGAGCAGTGACGAGTGGCATTCCTCAGGGGTCGGGGCTGGGACCAGCACTGTTCAACATATTTGTTGGTGACATGGACAGTTGGATCGAGGGCACCCTCAACAAGTTCACCAATGACCCCGAGCTGTGTGGCGTAGCTGGCACACTGAGGGCAGGGCTGGCATCCCGAGGGACCTGGGCAGGCTGGAGGGGGGGACCTGCATGAACCTCCTGGAGTTCCCCAAGGCCAAGTGCCAGGTCCTGCCCGTGGGCCGGGGCAATCCCCAACACAGATCCAGGCTGGGCAAGTAGCAGGTTGAGAGCAGCCCAAAGCTTGTGGAGAAGGACCTGGGGGGGATTAGTGGGTGGAAAACTGCCCGTGAGGCAGCCCCGTGCCAGAACCCACCCGTGCCCGGGGCTGCAGCCAGAGCAGGGGGGGCAGCAGGGCCAGGGAGGGGATTGTCCCCCTCTGCTCCGCTCTGGGGAGCCCCCCCTGCAGTGCTGGGGCCAGCTCGGGGGCCCCCAACAGCAGAAGGACCCGGAGCTGCTCGAGCGGGGCCAGAGGAGGCCACGGAGATGCTGGGGGGGGCTGGAGCAGCTCCCCTGGGGGGCCGGGCTGAGAGAGTTGGGGGGGTTCAGCCTGGAGAAGAGAAGGGTCTGGGGGGACCTTCGAGCGGCCTCCCAGGGCTTAAAGGGGGGGCAGGAGAGGGGGGGAGGGACTCTTGAATGGCGGGAGTGGGAATAGGACAAGGGTTAAAGGTTTTAAATTGAAAGAGGGTGGATTTGGGTGAGATCTAAGGCAGAAATTGTTCCCTGTGCGGGGGAAGAGGCGCTGGCCCAGGGTGCCCAGAGCAGCTGTGGCTGCCCCCTCCCTGGAAGGGTTCAAGGCCAGGTTGGACGGAGCTGGGAGCCCCCTGGGCTGGGGGAAGGGGGCCCCCCCGGGGCAGGGGGGGGCACTGGATGGTCTGTAAGGTCCCTTCCCACCCAAACCCTTCTAGGATTGCCCTTAAGGTAGTGCAAGGGAGCCACACTCCTGATCTAGGTGCCCCTGTTAATGGCTGAAGTTGGGGGATGTAAGCTCAGTGATCTCCACTGAGCTCAGCATAACCAAAACACTCAGTGTAACTTGGTCCTGTGTCTTTGGAGTTAAGATGTAGGCAAATATACAGCATTTCTCTGAGTTTGGTGAGGTATGATTTAAATATAAACTAAGTGTATGTTATTAGTGATTGAAATCTGTATCCTAGAGAGATTTCTTTAGATAATACTAAACCTAATTTTTCTGGTTTCAAACTGAGTCACTAATTACATGATTTCTAAGAGCTAAACTCTTTTTCTAAGCTTTAACAGTAAGTAGAGGTGAGAAGAAGGCTGGTTTTCTACTGCACCTATAAGAGAAGAATTCCTGTTATGCAGAAGAGCTGGCTCTGTTTTGCTCAACTCTGCCCTTTACTCTTTTGTACCTTTTTCCATCCTACATGGTTGTGATGTAGTGGCAATCAGCCCATTATGTCACCAGTGCTTGAGTCAAGCTACAGCATTTTCTTGAGAAGAACAAAGAGCAGGCATCATACTACTGTTATTTACCTGAGCCGCTGCATTAGACCTAGCCATTGTGAAGTCCTTAATTACATCAATTTATCAAATTAGACTTAAAATATAATACACACCTTTTCCCAAATGCCATATCATTAGCATGCCCTATTTTGTCAGTCTTTATGAAATACTAGAAAGCTTTTGTTTCAAATAAGACAGTCTTTCCACCCACCCCCAAAAGCTGAAACAAGCTTGATATAGTGTGCATTTTCACTTTGTTTTATGTAGATTGAAAAGTATTAAAATGCATAAAAATGTGTTTCCCTGATTAGGTTCTTAATCTGTAATTTCTCACAAGAAGTGGTTATTGCATGTGCAGTCCCACTCAACAAAGATTTATGGCAACAAAATCGCTGTAGTTTTGTGTGGGAGGTGGAAAGTGGCTGAATTCGAGGTCAAGCAAGAACAGTTATATATTCCAGCTGAAAATACTTCTCTCTAAAGAACAAGGTCAGGTTAACTCTACTAGAACCATACAAACCAGCAATCTCAAATGCTTGTTGAAGTGAATTTGTATATATGGAAGATGCCTTACCTTCTGTGAAAACATGCATTAATGTTCACAGGTATTATCACTTAAAATACACTCCTACTCTGCCCATCTGATGGTAGTAACTCCAAAAGCGCTCAGCAAAGTCTAAAGTGTAATCAATATGTGTATTTGTGTGTGTATGAGTTATATTTGTGTCTTTTTGAGAGGGTGAGCCTTAGGCATAAGAAAGTACTTGCATCTTTGATATTTTGCAAAGCCATGCAGACTGTGCTGACCTAGTAAGTCAGAATTTGTTTTATCTTCTTTTCTGACAGTAGGAATAGAAAGAGAAGAGACTCACCTGATTGAATTGCTTTTCCTACAGCACTGAAGTGGGGAGGAACTTTCCCCTAGTTTCATTCTATCTGGTATCCTCAGTCCCCCTTTAGTTGGAGACCTGGAAGCTACTTTGGTTCTAGATTTGCATCTTATTATCTTTTTGTCACATTTCTAGGTTTTATAACTATTGCAGTATCAGAAATTCTTAGGACCTAGATTGGAGTCTCATTACTCCAGGCACAGTGAAAACAAGTATGAGGATTAGCTTCCACCCCAAGAAGTCTTAAAATACAATCTTAAAATACAATTGTGAGATTTTCAGTTCTGTAGTCTGTGTCTGTGTTAGCAAATAGTGTGGAGCAGTGGATGTGGGTCTGCAGAAACAGAGGTAGTGTTGCAGGCTCAGTGTACTTGCTGTACGTGTTTTGAAGGGGTGGGGTTTGCATCAGACTAGTTGAGATCTTATTCTGTGAACTGAATGCTCATTAATGGTTGATGTGCACTTCCAATTTAGTTTCATCTTAAACTAGTCTAGTTAGTGCACGCCAAAAGCGGTCTATGATGTGAACCAAAGCAGGTAAATGGGGACAATCAGGAGATTTACTTTGAAAGTACATTCTTGAGCAAAATTATCACACCCACGACTTTTTGTGTAAAACATGCTGTTGTACTAGTGCAAGCACATTATCTGTGTTTACAAAGTTAATCTCCTGAATGCCTAATGAATCCATGTATCTGAATGGAACCCAGTTGAAACCAATGGTTTGATAACTTCCAATGAATCCTTGGTTTCTGTTATTTTCTGTGCCCAAAACACAGGCCCTAATGACTTACAAAATAACACTCAAACGTTCTTTGTGTATGACAGTGATTATCTTGAGCATAACTCAGGAAACATTGTTAGAGCAGAGGGCTGAAACACATCCACATAAACACCCAAACCAGTGTTCCATTTTGTACTGCTCCCTTTTTGCCCCACACTCCCAATATTAACAAAATATTTGAGAGTGTCCCCCAAACCCTCTGTAACCCAACACATACCTTAGTGGTTAAAGGCTCAACTTTTTAACTGGTATGTCCTGAATCTTTTTAAACCAACAGCAGTTGTTAATAAACTGTAAGACCTAAAGTTGAGATGAAATAGCAGGATATAGTAGAACAAAGATATTGAAACAGCCAGTTTATGTTAAACATAATGAAACTCTGCATAAACTTGCTAGGTAGCTAGAATAAACATGCACAAGAAAATATTTCCAACGTTTTTCTGAACCATCCAATAAATACTAAAAGGAGAAATGAAGAGCAGCAAGAACAGTATCTTCATGTAAGATCACTTCTTACTAATGGCAAAATTCCTGAACAAGTCAGCACAGAGTGGGTTGTTTGGGGGGATGGAGGAAGATGCACAGATAGGTTTCTCTGTTAAGAAATAATGCATTGGCTCTGCTAGTCTTGTTGTAGCACAATTCAGGGTAACTGGCCTGCCTCCTGGTCCTGTGTACCCAAGTGTATTGGTGAAACCTGAAAAGCCACCAAAAAGCCTCTAACAAACCATCATACTGATTGTTTTGCTAATGGCTCGACAGGAGCTCTATCTAAGATTGAGAGAAGCAGACAGAACCTCCACTCTTTTGCCCTCTGTGAGGAGAAATGTAAGAATTAAAAGTTGAAAAAGAGTCAGTGCCAGAGGTTACACTACAAATCATCAACAGTTTGCCCTTTATGTGGCTGCAGATACAAGGCCAACAAGAAATGAGAAATAATGCTTGTATTTACCAAAATGTAGGGTATTTCTGTGTGCTCTGTATTTTATGTTGTCACACTAATGGAACTATTTCAGGACTGTTGGTTTGCAAAATAAGATACTTCCATTTTACCACCAGACATGTAAACTTGACATTCTGTTGATGTTGCATTAAGGATAAAATTATCTTTTGAGAAAAGAGAATAATATAAGAAAACTCAAACTGGTTATATTAACTTCAAATGGTAAAATATGGTTTCAGCCATTACAAATACTGTTTCTTATGAAGTTCACTACATTTCAGAAACAAAGTTAAAAGTAAAAATATATGGCTTAAGGTATAGCATGGCTACTTTTTTTTTTTTTTTTTTAAAGTATAGTATAATCTGCAGCATCAGGGCCAACATTGCTCCTGTCTCTACCCACCTGCCACTCACAGAACAGAGCTCATCACCAGTTCCCACAGGAAGCTTAGTCAGCTCTGTTAAATAAATTGCAATAGTATGGTTTTAAATTGTATGATAAAACTTAACACCTACTCTTGCAGTTAATGTAGGGTACGGTCATTTGTAAAGAAAAAAGCATTTGGGGAACTTGTAACTCAAATGGCTGAGCAGATTTTGCTTATAATGTCAGTGAAGCAGTACCAGGTCTCATGAGCTATGGCTCTGCTGGCTGAGCTTGATTTCTATGAAATCTTAAATACAGTTCTCTCATGCTTTGCAAGACTAAATAGGGTATAAGTATAATCAGGTGTGAAGCCATTAAAGCTGCAAAGTTCTACAGTCAGGTTCATTTCTTGGCTTAAAGCACTAGTGCACAGTTGAAATTTGAGATGCAAGTCTGCAGTGGCACAAAATGCATCAAGTTACACCTGGTGAAAGCTCTGCACAGTTTTTTCTTAGAATATGCCAGCTACTCAAACCAGAAACATTTTTTCAGGAAGAAGTATACCTATTCCATTTAGTAAAGATTTTATAGGTGCACCTTGGAAATTTGGGTGAAGAATGGGTAAAGAGTTAATTGGCTGGCGGTGAAATCCAAGCTCCCCTTCTGTGTAAGTCATCTTTTTCATTAAAAAAAAAAAACAAAAAACAAAACAAAACAAAACAACAACAAAAAAAAAAAAACAAAACAAAACAAAAAAAAAAAACAAAGCAAGCAAAACACCTCAAAACCTCAAGTTTTGGATTGAGTTTAGAATAAAAATGTTTTTGACATCTCAAAAACATTGGCATTATTTCCAGTGTAGGCTACTGAAAACTGGATGCTGCCTGGTAGACTGGTGGCAATGGCTCAGACATGCATGTAATCACATAATCATAAAGGCTGGGATCCCACAAATCAAACCTGTAGTGGAAACTGGTATGGAATCTCAGATATGTAATTTTTGCCGTGTATTCCAAGTTTTTTGGTAGCCATCATCTGGAATGGTTGAAAACTTTAATGATGATTATGAGATTAGAAAGATAAAAATCTACAGCGGTTCCTGCAGATATAGCAAAGCTCCTTCCATGTACCCAAAGTAATAGTACTGTACCACGTATAAAATATTCTCTGAGATAAATTATTTTTTTTTTATTTTGATTTAATTTCTTTTCATTTTATGTATATAATGTATTTTTTGTAAGGAAGAAATAGTTCTTCAGATCTTTTAAAATGGATGAAGAGGAAAGATAAGTGCATAATTCAGGTACCATTTGCAGCCCACCATCCTGCACAAGAGGGAGGGTTCAGAGGTAAAAAAACCCAAACACCTGTACAGTTTAAAAGAAGGTGCTGGGATGTTAAATAAGGAATAAATAGAACTTCTCTTCCACAGTTTGAACTCTGAAGTGTTAGTTAAGTATAAAGGAAAAGCAGGCTGAAGCACTTGAGAAACTTTTGACCAAGGCAGTGGGAACTTCATAGTTAAGAATGACAATATCTAAATACGACTGCAATGTGGCACACTGTTTCTTGCAAAGCTGGAACAAACTGCTATCCTAACAATTGTTTATTGTACAATTGCAGCTTAAATTGTTGCCTAATACAGAACTCCTTGTTTGCCATGGCATTTTGTTTCTTTTTAATCTTGTCTACTGTAAAACTACAGGAAATGTCAGAAAGGAATTACAGGAAAAGAAACTTAATTTTCAGCTTCTCTGCGGGAGACTGGAGCAGGCTGCCAGACAGAAGTTTCAAAAGAAGCCTGGCTGTGGGAGATGCTATGGGCATGTGAAGCAGCTGAAGAACAGGGAATTACAATTATACAAGCCTTCTAGTTCCTGCTGAACAAGACAGATTTCTTGTAGAAACTAATGCAAATCCCTAATACGTGTGACAAAGGAGCGTCACAGTGAAGTGGGAGAAAACATCCAGTGACAGAGCTCTGGCAGGATGAACCCAAGAGGAGGAGCTGCTCCAGGTGTCTGTTTGTGGGGTGCGTCAAATGAAATGGAGGTGAGTGAAATTGTTTTACTGGCAAAAAAAGACTGGTGCACAGAAAGTGGAATGAGCAAATCTGAGTTGTAGGGACAAGCAAAGGAGTTGAGTGGCGCTGGGGCAACGCGTGCCTTTTCTTCTCTCCATCTGATGCCGTCCAAGGCAGTTTGCATCAACTCCTCTGCAGTGGCATGCAGTCACCAGGTAGGTACCAAACTGTGCCAGGTGTGGTATCCTACTCCTTTGAAATGAAAACTTCATGGGGAAGAGCAAACAGAGATCTTACTAGGGTACTCGTTGGATTCAGTTCAGCCTCAAACACTTGTTTCTTTCATCTTCAGGAGGAAGAAAAAAAAAAAGGCAAAATGAGTGGAGAGCAAGCCCTCGCTTTGGAAAAGGAATTCTAGCTGAAGCCAGGAGTGGGCAAAGTTGATACAAATCTTGGTTTGATTAGCATGTATAGGAATCATTTACAGTCATTTATCTCCTTTTTTCCTAGTGTTTTCCTCCTAAACTTGTTGTTTTGCTCTGTAAAAGTGAGACTGGTCAGCTGCTTTTCTGTTACCCTCTGAGGGAAGAGTTCTGCAGGTGCTGAATTGCACTCAGAAGTGTGGAGAAGGATCACCATGATTTACAAGGAGGCTTCAGGTCAAAACCCTTCTGAGGAAGAGAAGAAGCAGGTTCTGATCAGAGAAAGATAACTGCTTCTGCCTGAAAGTTAAACAGGTGCCCTTGAGGGGAGACCACACAGGGATCACAGGTTCAATCAGCTCCAGAGATGTGGTAATCACTAGATGGGTCATTTACCTAAGTAGTCTAGAGGTAGCAATAACTATTCATTACTGCAGAGCTATCAAAATTATGGTTCTCTTTTTTCCATCTTTTCATGGTCTTCCTTCCTTCCCTAAGCATATAAAGAGCAAAATAGGAAAGCCATTATATTAAATCGCTCTTAAATAATGTGGAACAATGAGCTTAGTTATAAGTAGTGTTTATAAATGGTATTGAAGAAGAAAAAAAAACACAGAGGAGTCTACAGCTATCACACAAATTATTTCCACCCATGGGTTTGGAAAGTTGTTAGTCCAAATTGACCTAACTTCCTACATTTGACTGAGTAATGTCTCAAGAGATTGATAGTCTTTCCTTTTGAGCTCCGAAATAAAAGAAGAAGAAAGATAGGCATTCAACTCGGTGTCATCCAGTGAAGGGCAGACTCATGTCAAAGAAATCTGGAAGTTCCAACCACCTGAGACACAGCCTGGCACAACAGTCCAAACAAGTTATTCAAAGCTGCATGGTTAAAGAGGGTAGGTTATAGAGGCCAGACAGCTGATAGCCATTAAAGAGAGCTGTTCCTGTGCTGATAAGACTAATCTGCTCACTTGAATATTTATCTGAGATGCAGAAGACTTGCATTCAGTTTTAGGTTTTATAAAGGCAGCCCGTGCTCCCTGGACAGTTAGTTATTCGACCTCTTCTGTGGTTCCTCTATGAGAAATTGGTGTAATAGTTCTCTGGCTCATGGTCACGTGCTGGTAACCACCAGAAAAGATCACTGCCAAGGTGCTCTAACTCCATGCTCCATCCACTAAAAGACAGTTCAGAGAAACAAGAATGGATGTTTTCTTTCTGTAAGCTTTGTTTATGAAATGTGTTCTCACTGAAACCCATTAATCAAAACATAGTCTGATGCATGGTTATTTGCTTGATCTCGTGTTTACTCAAGTCAGCAGAAATCTTTCACTGGATGTTTAATGTCTTCCCCTCCCTGCCTTGGTGTGACGCTTCCTGGTCAGTGGACCAGCTGAGGAAAAACGCTCGAGAGTAAAAGCCGTTGGGATGAGTGGTGAAGCAACAAGGACCCAGAAAAATGAATCTGAAGGGTTACATAGTCTGCAGTTTAAAAGTAATTGTAGCCCTGCAGTTAAGAGACAATGTAAGTACTGTTGCAGCCACGATGGTTCAAAGGTGTAAGGAAAATAAGGTTGTTTAAGTTCTAAATCAACTTTAAATGCCTTTATTCTTACTTTTATTACACGTATCCCCATAGCCTGAACTGCAGAATAGAGTGCTCAAGAAGCTGAACACTGACTCAATAAATCTCTGTAGTTCATCAGGTAAAGCAATTGAATTTTGAAGTGGTAAATGCCGTTGTTTGAACTTCGGGATTTTTTTGCTTGAGACGTAACCTTCATTAAATAACAGTGTCTTGAACTTGCGTTGTTTCCCCACAAAGACTGGTGATGATACTAACCTCGAATGCAGTCTGTAGGCAAGGAGCAGAGGCAGGAGGAGCACGTGCTACAAGAAAGGCTGTGTCCAGCCACGACCCACGCGGCTCCGCTCCAGGACAAGTCACGGTTGTTTCAGCAGCTTGCTCGGTGCGAAGGGCTCAGTGCCACAGCGTCTGAGTGGTCACATGCAAGCTCTGGGGACACCAGTGTCTGCCCCACACAGGTTGCACGTGCCACTGTGTGGGCAATGCTGAAGGAAGCCAAGGAGGTAGTTCCTGAAATTGCAGGGGTTTGTTTTGGTGAGAAAGAGGAGGATTTCAGGTTTGCCTCTCCTGGAAAAAAAGAAAATTTTAGTGTAGTCTCCTTTCTCTCCCACTCCTGTGATTCCAGTATTCTGACTTACTTTCTTTTAAATAAGAGCTACCTGATGAACTTCTCTAGTCATCACTTCGGGGTGTTCAGCCACTTTTCACATCAAATGCTTATTTAGTTAATACCTGGGGGACAATTTGTAATTACTGGGACAAATTCAGTATGTACACAGAGTGTTTTAAGGGGATTTATTATAATCTACTTTTTTTTATCTTTCAGCAAATAGTTTCTAGAGTGATTTTTATGCCTCTAAGACAAATTAACTGATGAACCTGGAGTGAAAGTAGGATTTAGACCTAAAGACCAAAATTTCTAAAAGGTCTTCAAATTTTACAGCAATGGGATTTTTATGAATGAAGGAGCAGCATATTAGAGGTCTTCAGGTAAGACACTTTCCATAGTATGTGTAGTAAGTGAAAATGTCTTGAAAATTCTGCCCTCGCTTGATATTTATTCTACTATGCATTATGCGTTGTCTTTTAGACTTGATTTTCTATACCACATTATTACACAGCAATAAATGGTTCAACAAAAGTAAGAGTTAATATAATGAAAAATGGGAATGAGATTCTGAACTTTTACTATGACTTGTCTCGTTTGTGCAGATAAGGGAGTGTATGAAATATAATCTTATCAATTTAATCTGTGTTACTTTGGACATTACCATACCTATAGTTCATTAACAGTAGCGTTTTTGCTGTGTAGGTTTTATACCAGCTAAGTTGCTTAGCAACCTTAACTCCAAGATAATGATGTCTTGCTGCCTGTGATTAAAAAATGTTTTTTTCCTGTATTCTGTTTATGATATATCTAGCTTACTTATTTTCTTGTTTGCAAACCTTGTTCCTCATTTTTCATTCCAAATATAGCAAGGTATATATACATTCCTTGAATAATTTTATATTTAAAATTCACCACAGTCACCTACTCAAGTGAGTGCAAATAGCACAATAGTATTATGAAAAAAACCACACTGTACAGTAATGCAAAGAACATGAAATGGAAAAGCAGTCTATAGAACTACTACTGTTACTGCTGAATAAATCCTTAAAGCCTTTTCAGCAGAACTGCATTACTAATAACCGTGGATAATGGTCGAGTTCTATGATTTAATTCTCCTCTTAAATAAATAAATAGAAAGCTATGGGACTTGCCCATATGCGATGCTATACTTTGGAACTGGTCCAGAAAAGTGAAATACTATAGTTTTAAGTGGTAGCAAATGTCTTTTGATACTGTTAGTAGATGGATCACTTAGTTTAATAGTATTTCTGGAAGTACGTTGGAGCTTAACACTAACAGTATTCTGAGCTAATATCTGAAGGATGACACACATCAAAATGGATATTGGGCGACATTATCTGTTTAATATATTTCAGATGATTCTGTTAATTCCTGCAGAGTTTATCACCATGGTTACTGTGACAGGAAATTAAACAAACAGTAAAAAAATTAAATTAATCCATCCCGAATAAGATTCCAATGGAATCTAGAGTTTCATTTAAGCATTGGGGCACACTGAAGAGGGACAGCTCTTTAGCTAATAGCATAACCCGTGCCTGCTGGGAGGACAGGTTCTGTCCCAGGATTTGGTGTCTCTGTCATAAATTACTTTCCAGATTGTAGGAAGTGGTGGTTTTGGAATAGACATCTAGATAGGAGCTACTGATATAAACTGTCTGCTTCCAGTAGACTGGAATTAAATCAATAATACTTCATGGTGTAGAGATTTGTAACTGAAGTGCTAATATTGGTATGACTGCAATATAAATGGAAATAGGCATGTGTGACAGCACCAGAAGTTACAGCAAAGCGAGCGTGGCGAGGCTGGGACTTGTATTGGGCCCTCTGGACGATGTACCCAGTAGTAACATTGAGGCACATGCTGTTTGTCTCTGATAAGAGCACAGCAAGATGCTTCCTCAGTGCAAGACCCTCCATCTTAAACCCAGGAGGATGGCAACAAGTTGCAGCATAGTGCATATGCCAATCCTTTCCTTTTTCCCCAATGGGAAAACATGCTTTTTAAACAGATAAACAAACAAACAAAAAAAGTAAAAAGAGATAATGCACAGCAAGCTTAGCTAAGGCTTATGGAGAGACTGGAGTCAAAAACAAAGCACCAGCTGCCAAAATGGCTAAATGGCTTGTCTCTGTGCTTCAGTATTGCTTTAATTCTAAATTCAACTACCTTCATCCAAGGGATCTGAGCTACTCCTGCAGTATGGCATTTACCTACCATTTTGAAGGGCTTTTAATACATCAAGTTGCTTACAGTTCCTAACTGTTTTTCATTTCAGCACTTATCATTACTTAGAAATGCGGAAATTCTGACCTAATTGAGCCTTTGGAGTAAGTTTTTAGTTACTGAACTTGCCTGTTGGGTATGTGAGGCTGTTACAGAAAGCAGGAGGGGAGGGCATCTGCAATATGCAACTATGTTAATGTCTATAGTGAACTTATCATCACAGTAGTTTCTTTAGACTGGTGATGTAAAATCTCAGCATTTGTGCAGTGAATTCCTGCTGGGTCAGTCTGTTGTTTCTTGAATATTTTTGTAAAGAATACTTTAAAAACCAGACTCGTTACCACAATAGAAGTTGGAAGTTGTCCCATGTAGGATATAGTTGCTCTGCAGAAAACATTCGTTTCAGCTGTCCACCTGGCAGATGTATAACAAATTTGAGATTGTGTTTGGTGCCTAGTTTGAACTGGAAACCCTGTCTGCTCGTCCCATTGTTGCCATGGGATCTGAAAAAAAAAATTAAAAAGTATTCTTCACAAGGAAATTCATGCAACCAAAATGCAAAACCTTGATAAGAGCAATACCAAGGCATAACAGGAATATAGTACGGTCAATTAAAATACAGGGAATTCTGCTAAGTTTAGTTCACATTTACTTTACTCTGTACCTTACACCAAATAAGCAAGCTGTTACATGTACATCTTTGGCATCTGGAGATCCCCCTTTACTTGAAATGAGGCATCATTCAAAACATTTTAGCTTATGCTGGACTAAATAGTAGTCTATATAAAACAATACAGTGAGAAACATCCACGAAGCTATTAGCAGACGTACAAGTTTGAGGATCTCATCCACTGATAATTATGAATGAAATTAATGGAATCTGGAGCACCTGGTTCCTTTTCATAACGAGATCCCCAGCGGGGAGTTCACAGGTTGGCTGGCTCTGGAGTTGAGGCTGCACTAGGCGACAGCGAGTTGTGATGGGAGGCCAATCTTCTGTGAATCATCAGAAAACAGCAACTGGGAATAACACAGTATTTTTAAGGGAATCCCTATAACCCATGTAGCTAGTGGATATGTAGTCACAAAGGAGTTTTACTCGGCCCCAAATTCTTCCAAATGATATTTGGTATTTAAGGAACTTGAGCGAATCAGAAAGATTGTGTTGTGGTAAGTTAAAATATTTTCTTTTTTTTTTTTTTTTTTAAAGTATATTTAATGTTTTTCCAGAGGAAAACATTTTGACCTTGGTAGCATTTAAAAACAAACCTCTAACTTCAAAAGCTAAATATAGTTTTCAGTGGTAGTGTAAGAACAGCTGAAGTAAAATCGTCAAAACATCTCTCACATTATACACTCACTTAAAATTCAGGTTTAAAACCTTCATGGGGAATCATATTTAATATTTAGTTAAACATTACCAATTTTCTCTGGAACCACAGAACAAAACAGAAATCTAGGACTTGTCACAAAAAGTTACATGAAACAGCCTATTCCAATATGAATGAAGCTCTGAACATAAGTAATCCTTTTAAAGAATAAAAAAGAAGTACATTAAAGGTTCAGTGTCTCTCATTAAAATTAGTTATTCCCAACATTGATCAGGAAATGTGATCCTCTTAAAATGATCTCAAAGAGGATACTGTCATTTTGATAATTACAGGTGACCCCAAATTACACTAAGATATATGTAAAAATAAACTACGTCTTACTGCTGTTCAAATATTTATAAGCTTTCCGGCTGAGTACTGCTAATTAAAGCTTTATACACTTTAAAAGAAAATTTAAAATAGTACTTCTAGCTCAGCTTTTATAAAATCCCTTTCTTTTCAGCAAGACGTCATACAACAGCACAGCTGCAGTGGCATTATGTGCAGCCAGCCATCACAACTGAAGAGTAAACCCGGAGCTACTATTTCCATTGCATTCAAATTTCCCAGTTTATTTTCTTGGCATCGGTAGAGTCTAATTCAGAGTTGTGAGGTTCAAATTTAATTATTTAATTTGAATGTTTCTCGAGGCCTTTGAGTAGTTCTAGAGAGTGCAGAGCACTGGTCTGAACACCAATAGCTGTTATTCCCCTGTCTGTGAGCTAACTACAATACACTTTTTTGGCAACAGATCTTTCAAGTCCTGTTTTTCCTCCCACACTCTCAGAGCTGTAGTTTCAAGTTAATGTGACTATTACTCGCTAACATTAATATTAACATCAGGTCAGGGTTAATAACATTAAAAGGATAAAAAAGATGAACTGGAAGCGAACTTTTAGCGATCAGATGTCTAGTTCGGGCTTACATAAAGCCTCTGGTGAGAGAGAGGACTCCTAAAGCCCTCTGCATTTATTAAAGCCAGAGATGAATTTGTACTGAAAGCTGCAGAAATTCAAAGGGAGCCAGTAGAAGGCCCAGAAAAATACTGTCAGGTTACTGATAACCCAGCTCAACCCTTGTGCCAGTACAAGGGGAGGATGGCATGGGGTAAGAACCAGTGACCAAGGTACAGAGGATTCTTCTGCCACCAATGCACTGCCAACTTAAACTCTGTGTGGAACTATAAGATGGTTGTCTTTGGTGTAAAGGAAATTCTGCTCGAGGATTAAGCAGAAGAGAAAAAAAAAAAAACATTTTCCTCTGTTCTACTTAAAGTGATCACCAGTAATTCCTCTCGTTGGAAATGTATTGTTCTGAAGCCTGATTTCTGGGTAGGAAGTATGTGGTTTTGGAGACCTTATTTCTACCAGCCCCACAGAGTTTCCCTTTGAGGAGAAAGAAGAGGGACAGAGTTTGTACACGTGTGTGTGTGCTACACAACTGCTTTGCACCCTGATAGTCAGTTGGACCGTTCTGGGAAACAAATGGGGAAGTACTTCCTTAAAAAGGAAAAACACGTGCCCTGGATTTGGTGGTTTCAAATGTTTGCCACTAGCTAAAATAAAATTTCTCAGTGTTGTTATACTTGATAAAGGTTACATAAAGCAACAGTGCTGCAGAAATTTAAGTGGAGGAGTATTCTTCTTCTTGTAGGACACTACAGCCACAAGCGCTCTCTCTGTAAAGAGCGTTGTGCATCAGACAGCAGAGCTTTATAGGGAGGTGCCTTAGGTACCGAAATCTTTCAGTGCACGTGCCTTATATTCTTATTGATCATGTTGGAATGCTTATTTTTCCATAATAAAGATGAGTGAGCATATGCCACCGCAAGTTATTTCTTGAACCGTTTAGTGAGATACTTACGCTGTGAATAGTTGCTAGAGAAGTACAAAATGCTGCCTTCTTATGAAGAATACACTTCTTTCTCAAACTACCTTCCCTCATCCTTAAGTTCTAAATGAGATTTTCAGCTATTTTTGTGGTTTTAAGGATTAAAAGTTAACCTTGTCTTGCATATTTCCTTCTTTTTTTTTTTATTATAAGCTACAATTACTTTAAGAAGATGTGTCTATTAGTATATTGGTACTTATAAACTCTATTAAAGCTAAATGTATTATTTTATTCAGGTATTGCTACGCTTATCTTGTTTTCAGCCTAAGCTGCATTCTAATTGCATGTCACTGTTTTAAAAGCTTTATTTCATTTATACAGTCTGACACATTTAATGTCTTATTTCATAGAGCTATTTAACTTGGAACAGGAGTGCATTGCCGTGATACAAATTAGTAGCATTATTTATAATTTGGGCAGCTGCATTAATATAATGGCATAAAGGAGCATTATCTTATTGCAATAATATTATAAAACGATACATCTTACCATATTTACTGTACAGTTTATATTATGTTTGCCACTTGACGATGGTCATACAGTTCAGACCACAGATGATGTGGTCCTAAATCACCATCCAGTGTTCACCAGTACACTTGAAGAGAGCAGTGAGTACTGTCAAAGGTTGTCTAGATCTCTTCCAGTTCCCTGGTTTTTAGTTTTTTTTTTTTTTTTTTTTTTTTACTTTTTGATCTTCCTCTCCACCTTTTCTGTTTCATGTTTTCTCTAACTGTTTGTTTCTTCCTGCATTGCCTAGGGAGGGCACTTCAGCTTGGGAGCAGACTTCTGCTTGTCCTTAAGAGGAGACTCAAAGGAACAGTGGCCAAATGAGAATGTTTCTAAAAGATTAAAAATGGGGTAAGTACATAGGATACTTTCTAGCCCCCATCTACTGAGTAGCTCAGAGGCTTCTTGACTTAGATATGGTGTCTGGGTATTTAATAACCCTCAGTGGTTTTACATTCTATGAAGTTGTCCAGATTTCCCTAATGCTCCTGTAAACTTCTGGCACTAACCATACCTTTTGGCAAGTAAGTGCTTAAATCTGCTCTGTGCTACATGAAGAAAACTCTTTAATTTGTTTCCAGCATAGCTCCTAATAGTTTAATTTGAACCCCCACAGTTTTTGTTTTGGAAGAGGCAATGAATATTTGGTCTCTATCCAACCTCTCTATACCACTCATAATTTTGCAGATCTTTGTCATACCCTTTTTTAGTCATTACTTTTTCAGACTTGAGAAAAAGATGTATTTGACAAATTTGTTTTTTTTTTTTTTTTTTTTTTTAAAGCTTATTAAAATGTTTTTAAGACTTTAGGAAAACATGGCTGCTTAAGAAAGACACCGTCCATTCTGTAGAATGATGGGCAGTATTCTGCCTTGCTCTGTGCTTAATAGATGTTTGAGCTGTCTGCTTTTATGTTCGGTATGCCTTTATCTTCACTAGCAGGGACTGTCCCTTTACTTGCATGGTAGTAATCCTTACCATAATGAGGTTTGCTGCAGTCTGCCAGGCTGGTCTGTTCTGCAGGCAAACAGAAGCACTCAAATAAATTACAGCACCAATAATAGCTAAGAGACATTTTCTTCTTCCCTATCTAGCATCTTACTAAAACAACTTTAGTAATAAATAGTTAACAGAAACAGACATTTCAATGTATTTAAAGAGGACTGTCAATCACAATGGAAGTAATGTCATTCTATCCACAGTTGCAATTCAGAAAATGACACATTCATTGAATCTTCTCGTAGACACCAAATAGGAGTCTTTGCTGAACTTGGAAAGAACCTACAATCTCCGCACATGGCCGTAAAGTAGAAACAAGCAAACAGACATCACCAACTTGAAATAATTAGAAGAATTGCACTGGCAATGCACTACTTGGAAAACTCTAGCAGTTAATTTAAATAAGAGATGATTGTTCTTTTGGGGTACTTCAGTAAAGATTAAATTACATTAAAGGAAAAATACTGTGATTCTGGCTTTTGTCTTTTGTAGTAGAGGCAATTAGCTTTCTTTGCTTAATTTTATCATAGAATCACAGAATGGATGAGGTTGGGTGGGACCCCTGGAGATCACCTAGTCCAATGCCTCTTCTCAGGCATAGTCACCCAGAACAGGTTGCCCAGGACCCCACCCCAGCAGGTTTTTGATACCTCCAAGGATGGAGCCTCCACAGCCTTTCCAGGCAACCTGTTCTAGTGTCCAAACAACCTCACGTAAATAATTGTCTTATATTCAGCCAGACTTTCCTATATTTTAATATGCCTCTTGTCCGGTCTAGATACCACCAAGAAACGTGCGGCAGTTTTCTTTACTGCAGGTCAGTTGAAACAGGAAAGACTGAAGTGAAGAAGGCATTGAGTCCCTTGATCTTTCCTGTGTCCCTTCGTCATCAGGTCCTCTGTCCCATTCAGCAGCAGGCCCGTGTTTTCCCTAGACTACTTTTTGCTGCTGTTCTACTTTTAGAAGCCCATTTTTTGCACTCCACATCCTTCAACAGATACAACTGTAGATGGGCCTCAGCTTAAATGTAACAGATGATTTTAGATAGATTTAACTAGTTCCAAAGGCTCTTGAAAATCAGTCTGGCTCTAGCAGATGTTTCAAGACTGAGTTTTACAGATGCTACTTGTTACTTGAAGAACCAGGAGTTTAAGAAAAGTAAAAATGCCATTCCCAAACCAACACAATTGTTGCTTTGGGCCTCACTTTCCTGAAACGTAGGAAATCTACTTATTTTCAAATGAATTTTTGCCAGCAAAGCAGATCAGACTCTCCTGGACCTGGTAGAGCTGACAAAGCACTTAGAAATGTAACGACCTGCATGAAAACTGAAGTAACTTGTTATATTGTTCAAACTGTCCACCTCTGGGTTTTGCCTTTGTCTATGATTTGTCCTTAAAAGAATGCATAACACTTCCTGAGGAGACAAAATGTCATTGTCGCTCAACTTAGCTGGTGCTTATGTGAAAGAGGTAGATTATTAGAATTAGCTTGTAATTAACATAAACTTTGCTAACTATAAATTTTTAATTGATTTCTGAGTAGGCAGCAAAAAAAATTTGGTGTAGATGGTTCAGTGCTCTAAAAGCACTTGGTCAGAAAATTCTGTTGCCTCACAAATGCCTCTGACTCATACTACAGCTCTGAAAATTACTATTGACCACAATATAGATCTAAATATGTGTATCTCACAGTTAAAATACATGGAATGTTTAAGAGTTTAAGAACCCCTCATGTTTTTCCTCTAACCATGACTATTTCTTCATTTTGATGTGCTCACTGCACATTTTTCCCCACTGAGTCACTTATTTATATCATGAAGCAATCTATAATCTTATTTTTGAAAACCTTTCAGTAAAATACATGACCTACTCCCAAATACGACTTAAGTAAACCATGATGAATCGGGCCTGCATTCAAAAAAACCCACTCAATTAAAAGTTTAAGCGAATGCTCAAAAATTTTACCATAATGAAGTACCTTTGAGCACAAATTCAGAATTGACCCTGTATGGGTTTCATGATGAACTGGGAAGGCAGGTCATGTTTGTAGGGCAAAAATGTGAGCACCCAGATGTCAAGTGTAACACCTGCATTTACTGACTGATTCATTGTCCTCTTTTATAGCGACAGTAAGGAAGATGAGGTTGGGGAATGCAGTCCTTGATCTGCAGGCATAGGGGTTTTCCCATCTATACACGTGTTTTACTTGTGACTTGTAGTTTTTTAGTGCATGCATGAAAAATTCTTTTCTACCATATATGTGAAATGAGAGTCAGAAATGTAATTTTACAACATTTTCCTTGGTGACAGTCCCCATTTTGGTGTCATTCAAGTGTTCATTAATATTGAATTAACTAGAAGGGACATCCAAAGCAGACGTGATATAACAAGTAGAAGTACAAGAAAGTGAAACTTTGGTAAAGATTGTGCTTTAAATTTTTTAGAGACATCTGTTTTGGAAAAGCTTTGCAATTCCATTGTCTTACACTGTCAGCATGCTTTACACAAGGCAAACAGCATGTGGGGAAAACAAGTACTTACAGCCAAGGCTGTTAACTGGCAGAGAGGTTATGTCTTACGTTCTTGATCTTTGAATTTCATTCAGTGTGTCCTAGATATGAGAAAAAAAGAAATTACGCACCATTTCTTTCAAAACCGTTTTTATTTTTGAGGTATACACACATTTCTGTTTATTTCTAGATATCATCCATCGTTCACATTAGCAATAACTGAAATAAAATGTCACTCAGTTCTCTACTTTTATTCTTAATATATAGCACATAAATTAAACAGTCTTATTGTGCTGCTGTGTGAGCTGCTGAGCTGTGTTTGCAATGTTTGTTAAGACTGAAATCCCATAAATAAAACATCTCTGAATCCAGCTTATCAGCTTCTGAGATGGCATGAAGATGTTCATATATTGTATGAGCTGAAGGAATCTGGGCTTCTTAGATTGAAGAAAAATAGGTTATAATTGGTAGTGGCAAATAGTGTGATCATCAAGAAAATGTACACTGTATGTACTGACTTCTAATAAATGGAAGTAATGGCCCATGCTCTGTTTAGCAGAAGACACTTCAGTAAGTATTCGAAGATTCTGCTTTATTAGCACTAGGAATTTAGTAATAACAGGTGTGAGAACTCCAGTCTTAACTATGAAATCTCATGTTTAATGATATTTAATATTTGTTAGATTTCGCAGAAAACAAAAAGCAAAAGAAGGAACATCTCTGTAGTAAACATTTACATCTTCCATTTGCTACTGTTAATTTTGCATCTGTGGGGTCTTGTTGTTTTTTGTTGGTTTTTTTTTTTTTTTTCCCCTTGAATTGTTCTCATTCTAAGAGCCCGCTCTTTTCCAGACTAATGTATTTGCTGGCACTTACGCAGCACAATTATTTCACCCAAGTCAACATGTTTCTGCAATTGGCAGCCCTGGAACCGAAGCATGTGACTCAGCAAGTAGGTAAATCCGAGAGACTCTTTCCAAGTACAGTGTGTGTCAGATGGAATGTGAATACAGTTATTTTGGGGGTCTTCCTCTGAGGAGGCGGTTTGGTCAGAGTTTACTACTTAGTAATGTGTTATGGAACGTTACCATCTCTCTACCTAAATTCTAAGCCCGGGGCGAGGCTGCTGCCCATCTCACCATAGCTGGGCCGCTGCGGAGGTTCATAGCCCTGTCCACTCGCAGTGAACCAGACTTCCAGCCCCGGCACTTGTGGTTAATGTTTGACAACCTAGGGGACTTTGCTGTTGACCCCTCAGCTAAATGTAGGATGTGAAACGCCGGCACTTCAAAGCAAGAGTTTGTTCTGGAGTAGTGTCCAGGATGTCCTTGGCCATTATTAATATTGTTAAACGCTGTATCAAAATAGCGTATTTAAAAATAAAGATCGCTTTTGTTATGAACTGTTTTCTTCTGCTTAAAAACACTATGTATCTTCCTTCCAGTACCATCAAGAGTCTCTGACTTAAAGCTGAAGAGATCTTCCTTTGAGCCACCATATGGCTGTGAATTACGATTTCTTAGGTAGTCAGTTTTTTAAGGCAGAATAACTGAGGTCTAGTCTGTTGTTGTTGACTTGCATCAGTCCCTACAAGCATGACAGGCACGGTGTGAAAGCTGTCTTGTCTTAGGGATGGTTGTTCCACCTTATGCCAGGGTGGCTCCCGTTTGGTGACAGCCTTGCATACTTTGAAGAGTCTTACATTCCTGATTAAATCACATACAAATCCCCTGAAATTCTCTCAAACTGTTGTTTCATTGAGTGGGCGCGCCACGGGCGTCACAATCACTTAAATATTTGTTCTAAATGTTTGCCTGATTGTATTTCACACTAGCCTGACCTAACTTATCCACAGCTGAAAGGTTGTGTCAGGTTTCCTCCACTGACAGCCTGGGGCTATATACGGGTCTAGTGAAAGTAGCTGTATTCCCTGTTTCATTATTGCTGGAATTTGACCTAGAAGAAGAAACCTTGCTTCAGTTTTCATCCTGCCGAAGCTGTTTCTTAAGCCAAGGAATCCAAATTCTCTTTTTCCCTGTAATTCTTTCCTTTCTCATATAGGATCTGACTAAAAGATTTCTGTGGTTTCTGAAAAGCATACTGTTGTCTCCTTATTTAAACACAAAACACACACACGATTTCCCACCCCCACTCCCATCATCCAATGAAATACTGTCCATGACTACTGATATAAACCTTGTTAATGATTTATCGTTAACTCATCGATACTTCCTGTTTGGAGCTATTCTTGATCTACTTTTTCTTTCAGAAGGAAACGCTTAAAAATCTTTTCTATAAAAGGAGAATCTTGTAATTCTTTGCAGAAATAAAAGTTCAGCCTTCTCATTTCATCAGAATTTGGAATGCAACATCTTGTGTTCAGGCAGTGCCTTATCCCATTTTAGTCTCCTTTTTCAAGTTATTACTTTTTCAGTTGGGGCTTGATATCACTTTTGAAATGGCATTTATGACCATGGACTGTATTCGAACATCGTTAAAGGCAGTTGGTACTTTTGTCTGGAGCAGCTACCCTTTGGGCCTGAAAACCTGCTCAGACTTCTCTCTAATCCTGCTCAGATGCAGGAGTATACCAGGAGAATACAACAAGAGTCTAACATCAGACCGGGTTTGACAGTTTTATATGGTTTACTTATATTAGGCTAGCACACCAAAAAAAAGTCAAGTTAAGGTAAATGTTATAAACCTGCAGTATCCCTGCTGAATCCCTGCAGTATTTCATTTGAATAGTATAGTGTGAAACTGCATACAGAGGGTGATGGCCAATTAAGTGTAGAAGGAAAGGTAGAGACAGATCTTCTATGAAGCTAGATAACACCTATGAAAAAGTCTGCTGGCAGGGTTATATTAGGAAATGAACATTTCCTCAAGAATTGCTGTTACTGGTTCATCAAGCAGTTGTACTAACAAAAGCACTTTAATATCAGCCTTATCGTGTCTATACTGGAAGGACAGAGGAGAATGAATAAAAAAAATGATAAAAATAAAATTCACCGGTGTTTCTAAGTTGAAACTTTTTTAGAGTGGGTTTAAGTTGATTTTTTGCTAAATAACTACTGCTAGGATTTCGATTTCCTGGGTTTTCATTTCCTTCACCTATTCATGATTTGCATTCTACTGGCCTCTTTAATCTAGGTTTTAAATGATTTCTATCAAACTATCTCATCTTGGTATTACAATATTAATATGCTTTGTTGTTTTCAGCTTGGCAGTCTTGTTCAAGAATGTACATCATTTATATTCAGGTAAGACTTCATTTGCATGAAGAAGTTCAAGTGCAGCAGCTTTTGTATTTTCCCTGGAACGTTTTTCACATTTTAAACATGTAACTATTCTAGATCACCTTTTCCATAGCTTGTGCAGGTCTATTAAAATCAAATTTGCTCTAGGCAATAAACCAGCCTAAAGCTAAAATACTGACTGTGAGCCTTTGGCAAGATGTAAAGAATTTGTCAGAAACAGTGTTGTGTCCCTTTGGCAATGTCACAATTAATTATCCTTGTGGCATTTTATATCTAGCCTGTATATTGCTTTCAAAAGGCCAGGGCAAACTAAAACGCATTCTGTTACTCTATATTTCATACAGGAACTATTTTCAAGCTAAGCAAATATGTTGTTATAGAAAGGGGAAAATTGTGAAAACTTACTGCGGAACTCTGCTACAGCAGATACAGTCAGGTATGTTTCTAAATCCACTGTTAATCTAGCATTTTAACTTCTCATAGATGTTATGATGCGTAACTGCTGATGCTCTCTTGAAGTGTAGGTTTAACCAGAAAACAGAGGTAGGAAACACAGTTTATCTACAGACGATTTGTAGCTGATCTTGTGATTGTTTAAGGTGAATTTTACCTGATGCATCTAGATATATGGCTTAGTGTTAGGGGACTGACAGAGAGTTGTTCTGTCAGCTCGAACTAACCTCATTACTCTTGGATTCTTCCCCGAGGCTATTTCTACCCCATTTTGTACAACTAGAGCAATGTGAAGCGTTTGAAGTTCTGCAGAGACCCGAGTCTATGACATGAACTACTAATTTATCCAACTGGTTCTATTTCGTCCAAGGAGCTGGCTTTCCTTGTACAAGAGACTCACTAAGTCGACCAATTAGATTGTCAGAAAGAGCATTTTATTACTAAGGTCCGAGAAGGCACGTTTGAGGTGTTTCTTCTGTGGTTTTAAATGTTATGATTAGAAAATATTTCTTGGTAACATTTCATGTTATTTTATTTTTGGGGTGAAGTTAAATATGGGAAACGATCAACAAATAAGATGAGTGTCGAAGACAGAAATCATAATGAAAATTCTTTTGTTACCTTTATGGAGACAGTCTATAGTAACAGTTTTAAAAACTAAAATACATACCTCATACACAGAAAGCTGTTCCTATTTAATGAACTACAGAAGTCCTTCATGTTGAACATAGTATTTTTCTTTCTGTTTACCATGCTATTTACCTATCCAGAAAAGTTAACGTTGTTTTCAAATGCGACTTAAGCAATGTCCAAATAACTAAATGAATTATTTAATAAATACACACTGGTTTTAGGTGTATTGTATATTAATAAACTTGTTTATTACTCCACATGCAAAGCATCAGCAAAAAAAGGTTCAGTCTAAAATATGCGCAAGGCTCCAGCCGAAAAAAATCAGCAATAAAAAGCTTATGAAGAGCAGCCTGTGGTAATACTGTTTATAGATAAGAACCTTCCTTGATATAGCTTTTTATTTCGAATAAAAACATTGAAATGCAACTGGATTTAGGCATAAAATGAGATAATATTTCAAAAATTCACTACTGAAATAATTGTATCTGGAAGCAAATATTTGATAAGCGCTTCTCACATAAATCACAGCTATAGCTTAACACTTGAAATCGAACTCATTTAGTAAGTGGCATCATCACAAATCACATCTGGGCAATATTGATTTGGATACTAAAAATGAGCAGATCCAAAAATAATGACCACTTTGCAAAATGTAGTTGTACTCAAATATTGCAGGGCAACTGTAGCTGTAGTTGGTGAATTGCCATTTCCACCTGATTGATCTCCTTTGTTCCACCCATTTCAAATGCTCTGTGTTCAAATGTATTTCACTGACTACTTTTGTACAGGTGACCAGCGACCAAAAAGATGGACAGAAGGTGAGAGACGTTTGCGGCTCAACTAATTACTAGTAAATCCCTCTCTAGTCTGGATTTACTAGTAAAAGCTGTGGGAGGGAGCAGGATCTCTGTGGGGTCCTGGGGCCAAATGCCAGGCAGCGTATCCCATGGATGGGCCCGATCCTCCCTGGGCACATGACACAGTGGCTGGACTTTGCTGCTGTGAAGTGCAGCCCTGACTGCTGCTTCTGGTGACAGGTCACTTGGGTGCGGGTGGCCCTCGACATCTGTGGTGGCCAGGGCTGGACAGCCAGATTGTGAATGCAGGCAGCTGCACTCTTAAGTGCGCAGGTGTCGTGGTTTGAGCTCAGAGGGCAACTGAGCACCACACAGCCGCTCACTCCTCCCTTCCCCCCCAGCAATGAGAAGGGAAAAATAAGGCAGGCTTGGGGTTCAAGGTAGGACTGGGAGGGGCAGATCACCCATTATGGTCACAGGCAAAAGGCAGACTCATTAGGAGAAGAAAAAAGAAAACATACATTTATTGCAGACATTAACAACACTTAACAGAGTAGGACAGTGAGAAGCATTGCCACATCTTGAGAACACCTTCCCCCCACCCCTCCCTTCTTCCCGGGCTCAGTTCTGCTCCCGATATCTCTACCTCCTCCCCCAGTGGCGCAGGGGCAGGGAATGGGGGGTGCAGTCAGTGCTGCCGCTTCTGCCATCTGCGGTGGGGGGAGCTCCTGGAACTTGTTCCTCCTGCTCCATCATGGTCCCCCTCTCACAGGAGACAGTCCTCCACAAACTTTCTTCAATGTGAGTCCCTCCCACGGGCCACAGCGTTTCCTTACACCGCTCCGTTGTGGGTCACCAACTTCCTCCGACTGGATTCCCTCCCACGGCTGCAGCCCTTCCCGAGCTGCTCCGGTGTGGGACTCCCCCACATGCTGCAATCCTCCCAGTGCTGAATTACAGCAGCGGGGCTGCCTTTTCCCACAAGACCCCGGCCTTCTCCAGGCACAGTCATATTGGTTGGCCAAGAGAGGCCCCTCACAGGCCATAAATCACCGTCTGCTCCACCGTAGATCTTCCTGGGTGGCAGGGGGGGCCGCCCTGCCGTCCCCCCACAGGATACAGGGGGGTCTCTGCTCCGGCACACCTCCCCCCTCCTTTCTTCCTCCGTTCCTCCACTGACCTTGGTGTTCACGCAGCTGCAGCAACTCCTCTTCACCAGCCCCACTGCTCCTCACCACGTCCCTTCTTAAATACGTTATCGCAGAGGCGCAGCTGATGGGCTCAGTTTTGGTGCAGAGGTGGAGCTGACTTGGAGCTGGGGGAGCTTTGAGAAGCTTCTCACAGAGGGCTGCCCCTACAGCCTCCTCCCCTGCTGCCAAAAACCCCACCGCTCACTCAAACCCAGGACATTGGAGTTTATTTCTTTGGCACCTTCTGCACACAGGTGCTTCTCTGTGGAAGTCGCCCTCTGGAGACTTGTTTCAATTCTCTCCCACTACCCTGGTCATTTATAACAGCTGTGGGTGTCTCCGAGGCTACCAGCCGATCTCTCTCTTGCTCCTGTCTGCCTCCACAGCATTGCTTTTGGTCGCTCCAGATTCCGCCACAGCCTGACTTCAGCCTCCTGAAACCTGTTTCCTAGGTGGGTGTGTAATGCCCAGCTCCAAAGGTTCCTTTAACAATGAATGCGTGGGACTGCTGCCTATCCATGCTACCTTTAAATAACTGGGTGGATGCAGTCTGGGTGTTAGTAAAAAATAACAGTATTTAAGACAATTTTTCCAATTTATTAAGAGAGATAATGTCCCCATTTATAACGTCTGTGGAACACAGTTTGCGACTGTGTTGGAGGAACTAAACCTTTAGCCTCACAAATTATACTTTGAAATGCATTTACTTGTTTTGAAACATTATTTCTCTGTGGTTTTCAAAAAAGTGCGTTCTGCTTCTGAAAATAAACTTTATCAGTAAGAGGGTACATTTTATTATAAAACTGTTTTGTTTCTATTCAAACAGAGTGTATTTGGGAGACAAATTTTCTTACTTTGCTAACTAATAATGTAATTCTTTTTCTTTAGAGATAATTCTAACACCTTAATAACCCTGTAGGAGACTTATTAAAATATAAGAGATTAAATTCTAATGAGCACACTACAGACCTCTTCTTGAAAGGGCTTCCAGGAAGGGATCGCTACAAGAATAAAGGTTAAATTTATTTTCCAACCTGTAACAAAAGGCAGAAGGGAGCACATAGCTGTAACCATGTACATGAATAACCATAAATTAAGCAGTGTTTCCCTGGCTAGCCAGCCATTTATCCCCTAGACTGCTATGCATGATCAGGCAGAAAGTCTGCATTTTCCCCCGAATGGATGATTAGGAGACTTTGCTGTTTATTAGCCTTAACTGTACTTCTTGTATATAAGTACTGATGAGTTTACAGTAAAAAGGGTATCCGGACCTCTGTCAAGCTTGTAGATAACCCACGGAAGAGGAGGATACACACTGCAAACACCTTCTGCCTCGCTGTTCAACCAGAAAGTGACCTGCTGGGAGGAAGGCAGCATTGTAGAGCCATGGTGATAATGCGACCAGACCACGGAGCTCCTCGGAGGAGAACGGGCTGTGACCATCGTTATATAGCCCTACCCAGACCCTAGCAGGAGTGAAACGTTTTATGCTCCCTGCTTTCTCTGATACTGTTAGTACCTAGGCTTTGGATTCACTGTAGTAAATGAAATTCTGTGTCCACAGTACATAATTCACACTCGGGCAAAATAAAAAGAGGGTTTCCTGGTAAGTTCAGCATGAGCAGAGTAGAGTTCACAATGCAGTTCTTGATCCGCTTGAGCAGGGAAATATAAACAAAGCTGTTTTCTACAGATCAGTAAATACTTGTGGGTTATGGTTTACTACTAAAAAAGATTAGCACTGATTTGGGCACAATAGGAAAAAGCCATTAATATACTAGCAGCAAAAAACATTGTAAGGAGGTAAAGCATATATTAAAGCTAAAAGAGATGAGTACTATAAAAACTGAAAGTCAGAATTAAAACATCTTCTAAGAATTGTGATGTAAACATCCTACTTTCCTACTATATCATATACTACAATGTCAGTGATACAGTAACATGCTATTTAGTAACACAAAGCAATAAAATACAATTGATGGGGAAGACATGTTAATCACCGGCATTCAGGCTGAGTATTGTTGTGAATCTCCTATAAAACCTGTACGCCCACATTATGGACTAATTTTTGCCGAGTGATATAACATCATTAAACCAAAACCAGTACACACAAACCGTTATTTTACCCAGGTGATCAAAGGTAAAGCAGTTATTTATGTCTCATTACTATTCTCCTCACACGCCAAACAAATAATTCAGAACAATTTAGTTGAGAGGAAAGTAGTGAAGTGGATATGGGGTACATTGCATTAAGATGAAAGAAAAATGTAAGGAAAATGGAAAAATGCTTTCATAGTGCTAGAAGCATTATAAGAAAAGGAGCAGGAGTATGTGTTGTATTTACAGGGGACAAAAGAGAATGTGCTACTAATGGAAGGGTGAGCAATAAACAACATGAAAGGTTAGGCAAAGCAAACAAAATGCAAGAGAAGACAAAAGAGTAAAGTAAAATTAGAAATAAAAATAACCTGGAAAATAACCGTACCGTTGTTTCAACAAAGTTGAAAGACACCCCCCACCTCCCTCCTTTTTTTTTTTCACCTTGGACTCCATGCGAGCATGAAGATGCAGTTCTTTGCCTAAAAGCCATGCAATCCAGCATGAAGTCTAAGGCAACAGGCAAAGTGAATGTGGTGCAAGAAGGGCACAGACTAACAGTGATACGCTCAAACAGTTTTATGTATTGTGGTACATCACAGTTTTATGTATTGTGGTACATCAGCTGCTTGAACTGAAATTCTTTATTTCTTAAAAACTTGACTCTAGGTGAAAATGTAGGAAGGATGGTGGTGAACTTCAGCAAAGCCAGCAGAGGTTGTGACAGGCTGCCCAGAGAGGCTGCGGATCCGTTATCCTTGGAGATTTTCAGCATCCAACTTGTAAAAGCCCTCACCACTCCGATGGGAACTCAGTGCAACCTTGATTCAGGAAAAAAAACTTGGACTAGAGATCTCCTGTGGGCCCTCCAGTCACGGTGCGTTTGAGATTCCTTAATTTCGTACAAGCTATGATTCTGTACGTATCACAAGCACAATCTCACCGACGTTAATTAGCAGATGTACTTCAGTAACTGAAGTGGGCCTTGAGAAGAGGTTTGCCTCCAATCTACAACAGGCACATGGGAATTGATGAATTTAAAACAACAGAATCAATCAGAAATGGTGAAAATAGATAGACATGAATAGACGGCATCATTGGAGGGGGAAAAAGCCAAAAGAAACAAAACAACCAAAGAAAGAAAAGAGATGGAAAAGCAAAGAGTTGAAAAAATAATTCAGTTATTTCTTGTTATGGATGAACTAAACATATATTTTTAGTAGTAACACTGATTTTGATGATACATGATATCTGTTAAAAATAGTAAGATCCATAACATTTACATTCAAGACAGCCTAGCTTTTCATCAATATCTATTTTGTACTAGTTTTGCACTATATATTATTTTTAAATTTTGACTTGTCTTTCCAAATCTTACATCTTTTATCTACTCTCTGTGCTCATTCTTTCAACTCTCAGCTGTATCTCTTAGGTATTTTTTTTCTTTTTTTTTTTTTTTTTTTTTCTGTCTGGCTACAAAGTTGCCATAAAAGACAAAACTGATAAAACAGCAGAATAATGAAAGTGGATGTCCCCTCTGGTGAGATCTAGATTTCCTCAGTGGAGTATCTATGACCTTCTTTCATTTTTGACACTTGAAAGCTTTCTTTAATAATGTCATTTCAGTCTAATTTTATACAGTCAGCACGTTAGATGTCTTTTAAAAGTACTCCCATTTTTATTGTCTTTAGCAACCAATTAGTTCCCAGCCCAACTAGTCCCAGTTGCTCAGCTGTATACTGGGGATTTGGCATGGCATGCTGGAATAAATCACTCGCCTTCCACCCCTTGCAGTCTTAAAATACAAATCAGCATAGATGTGGGTATGTGCAGTGACATTGGAAGAACAAAACCAACAAAATGCATCTGTTTACCTCTGCTTATGGTTACCCCGTGTAAACCTTTCTGGAACCAGGATGTTGTTTTTCTGTGAAGAAAAGAAGCAATCATTTAAGGAATTTTATAGTTAGGCAATAATTCTACTACTACTACTGCAGATTAATACTCTGCCCTCCTCTGCTAGACCTGATCTCATTTAATTATCTTCTGTCCCTGCAAAGCCACTTGATGATGTGACTCTCTTGATTATAAGCAAGTTGTACACAGCAGAGGTCAAGTTCCCAGTGGTCGTACAGTACGTCAGTGGTGCTGGTTGAACTCAACAGAATTACTTTTATGTACTTTCAGTTTGAGCACATGGTTAAGCCCTGCTTTTTTCCTTTTCTCTCTCTTCCTCTGCATTGAGGTCGCTCTGACTGTTTCATTATATTTGTGCTTTCAATCTACATTTTTTACTGAGGACATTGTAGGCTGGGCAGGAATTCCACGTTTTCAAGTGGCATACCGAAAAGTGATTTCCTGCTTAAAAGTTTTCCTCTTTATTAAGTACTTTCTGGAATACATCTTAGTTCGCTCTGATACAGGGTGACTCAGACTAAAAGGTAGTTCTGTTTCCAGGCCTCTGCAGGGGCTTGTGCAAGCATCGCTGTCACAGCTACAGACATGGGAACTGCGGCAAACTCCCCGGTAGCTGAGACCAGGGGCCACTTTGGCATTCCGCTCCCCGCTCCGCTGAGTCAGCTCCAAGGTGGGACACTTTGCTTTTCTTCCTCTTTTTCCTCCCTGGGCCAGGAATAGCGCCAGGAGCAGAAGACAGTTGCGCTCTAGCTCAACTGCTGGTCGGTTTTTAACCCTGTATTTTTATCTCTGCCATACGACGCTGATCCCAGAGAGGAGCCCAAGCTGAACATTGCTGTCTTGTTTGCTGGGTCTTCTGCCGCGCATAAAAATTCAGGCCTGAAAGGTTCATCTGGAGACTCTGAAAAGGTCTTTCTACTTCAGCTTTGCAAACACGGGTTTTGATCATAGGGTATGGCTGGTGGGAGCAGGAACGCTCGCTGTACCGCAGCATTCAGCTCCAGCACGGTAGCCGTTGCAGTAACGAAAATGTGGATCGCAGGGTGTGCATAATCACACCTGATCTGTCTGAACTGTAATTACGTTTTGGGACTTCTGCAGATTTGGGGAACATGCCCCGTTCATTTAAACTGTAAGGCCAGGCTGTGTTAGGATACTACTGTGTTGGAGCAATGTTTTCCAAAATGATTGACTTAAAATAGGTCTGACTTCGTAAGATCTACAAATTTATCTTTCAAAGTTTGTAATTCTCTGACAAATTAAATAAAGAGTGTATCTAAATACTAGAACATAACAGTCTTAATTGTCAGAAGAGCCACTTAATAATGTGTATATATTAGATTACCTGAATATTTATCTGAAATTATTGATGTGTTTAATATTTTATTTCCTTACTAACAAAAATTACCTTTTCTAGATACAATTATAACCTTAGTGGTTAAACTGAAATACTATGCATCTGACTGCCCATGGAATAGCACTGCTAGTAAATCACATAAATATATCAACAGTACAGAAACATTATTTTTTTCTCTTTCTTTGAATAGTTTAGTTATCACATTATTTGATGGACCAAAATGTATTTTCTGACAAAATGAATTCAAATCATAAAGCTGTAAGAAATACATGAGTATATTGCCTTTCATCTTGCTCTCCAATCACCCAGTTGGAGAAACAGGGCTTGTAGTTACTTGCCTCCTCTTTAGCTCGTTTCCTGAAGGCAACAAACCGGAGAAATTATGGGTAACAGTTTATCAAATGCTTGTAGTCAGTGAACTCCCTCTCTACCTGTCGCTAGGCCTCGTTTTATTAACAGAAAGCTGCCGACCCAGGCGTGCCAGTAGCTTGAAAGGTCAGGAGGTAGGATGCAACTGCCAAATAAAAAATGGATGATGTGTATTTAATGTTTTAAATGCATGTTAGAGTATCCGAGAGTGAGCGTGCTGGTAAAAGGTGACATTATATCAACGATATTGTGGAAGCCTTGTGAAAAGGGCTCAGAACAGTTTTAAGATGTGTTATGAATGGACAGGAGGGGAGACCTCATGGATAATGTACATCTAAGTTTGTATTTGAATTTCCTGTGGTGGGAGTGTGCATCAGCACAGGATTGAATCAAAATCAACACGACCATGCACAACACGGTTTGCGACACAAGCAAGCTTTGATATGCAAGAATAAGGACAGTGAAATAAATTTTTATTAAATATAAATGTTTTATAAACCCTTTTTAGATTTTTATATTGCTCTGTTACTGCTATAATATATCAATTTTGCTTAATAGCTACTGAAGTTATACATTTTTAAATGTACTTTCACATACACGAGGAAGAAATTTTCTATTAAGATGAGAAACTGTCCGTAATGTTCTGTTACTTCTTTTTTAGTGAGGTAGAAACTGAGGAAAAAATCTTAATCTCAATTTAAATCTGCATTTAACATTTTTATCAATGAAATTATATTTATACGATGAGAATTAAAAAATATTTAAGATTTTGTACAACTTAATCTTTTTCACTGTATTCATTGAAAAGTTGAATAAACAGTGTAAATACCACCGAAATAAAGGACTGCTTTCCATTCTACACAATGAGGAGGACTGCTTACTGTCAATTTAATTTCTCTTAATTTCATTTTCTTTGTTTCACGTCCCAGCATTTAACTTCGTAGCAGTACAAGAAGCTCTTGAAATTAATCCAAGATAGTTTCTAGTTAAAAAAAAAAAAAAACAAAACAGGGGGGAGAAGAAAAACTCAAATATTTTGTGTTAGATGAGATTTAAAAAATCTTTTAAGTAAAAAGACTGAAAAAATAGTTTATCTATGGATTCTGTTTGCAGTTTGTGTACTATTTTGTTGGCTTAGGTTCTTATAAAAGAGTAAAGAAAAATATAAAATCTGAAAAATGAGGCAAACATGGCCATACAATTATTTAAAAAATAAACAAAATCCAAAAAACCCAAAACCAAACAAACGTACTTTTTTTTTTTTTTGATAGCATTTATTGCAAACAGAAGAGTGTTTTTATCTTTATGAACATGCTTTGTGAAGCACAAGGAAGCAAGAACTTACTCCAGGTAATTCCGGTTACATGACCTTTGAACTGAACACACCTACTTTACAGGTTATGTGTAGTTCCTATTTTAAGCTGTTTCGCGGGGCAGCAGCTTCTGGCAGTTGCTTCTGAGATGAAGAAGATACAAACTTTCTTCTCGTTACACACCGAGGCTTTTCGCAGGAAACTTCTGAGTTTTGCTGCCCCCAGTTCAGCGCCCAGCAGCGCGGGCCCTGGCCCTGCGCCGCGCTGCGTTCACGGCGGCGGTGGCACCAGCTGCCCGTGTCCAAGCGCCCTTTCCTCTTCTGCACTGAATTTGTCAAATGTTTTGAAGACTGCCAAGATCTGGAACGGCGCGCTTCTTTTCCCGTCCTCTCCATTTCTCCAGCAGCAGCTATTTTTAGCCTTCCATGCAGACCTGCGGCTCAGCCCGACCCTCTGGCCGCTCGCTCCTGGTGTGCCGTGTACCCCACGCCACAGCTGACCCCCACGGAGCCGCCGCTCGCCCAGCAGCCATATCCTCCGGGGACATAAACCCCCTGGCCTTGGCTCCGCTGGAGGCTCAGCGTGGGATCTGCCTTTATTTCGGTCGAGGTGGTTGATGGCCATCACAGTGCTGTGGGTAGCTGCCCTAATGCTCGTTTGGATGGGTAATCCAGCAGTTTGGGCTGAAGCTCTAGCTCCCCTTCAGTACATTTATTCACTTACATAGTGTGGTATTCACTCTTGTATTAATTTACGGTTCCTATTATATCTCTAACAGGAACTCTCGAACCAGTCATTATTGTATCCATATGTTATATGTTCATTTTACAGCTATTAGTAGACACTTTTATTCTGCCCAGTCTGTGTATCTCTTAAATGCTATTTTTGGACATTTCCCAGTTTTCCTGTAGAACGTCACCAGTGTTTGCACTAGGCCTTGGACGGACTAAATACACCCAGATCATTAGACAAATACCAATTTCCTATCAGTCTCTGATGCTCATTGCTTCAACAGGACATTTTTAAGCATTCTGAGCTTTGCTTTAGCCTACCATGTATACAGCTCACTACAGTCTTCTCAGAAAAATAATCTCCTCTTTTGCAGCCTGATTGGTTTTCATCCAAGCACTGAAATGCGTCTTTCTAGATAAATTTTCCCACCACATGCGATACGGCCAATCACTTCTCTGGTTTAAGGCTTCCAGAATCGACAAGTGTAAGAAGTGAAGGACATGTCATGCTCGCATTGAAGACAGTGACATGATTTCTTTCTGCTTCAGTGGAAACAATTGTACTACCAGCAACTGAGGAAAATAAAAAGAAAAAAGCAATAATAATTTTCTTACTGGAATTGGAACATTTAACATTTCTATTTTTAAGCTGAAGAAAGTTTTTTTTTTCCCATCTTTTATCTGGTCTTCCATTTTGGTGCTGGTGTAAGCATCAGGCTTCATAATGTTTTTCCCTTTTATATATGTACATATTTTCTTTACATATTTTGCAAAATGATGGCTAATGTAGCCACTTCTACAAATGAAATTAAAGAATGCATGCAGATGCCCTTTATAGGAGGACAGCTAAATTTCCTCTCTCTCTCCTTCTGGTCCAGTAAACATGGATTTATAAAATGTGGAACAGATCCCACAAGACACTAGAATATTCAGTAGCTTGGTAAATATGCAGCGATCTAGGATATGGGTTCAAATATTTGTTTCGCATCATGCAAGAAAGCATGATTTAAACTAAGATCTCCTTTTTTAATGCCTGTTTACCTGTTGGCTTCTCTCTCATTTTTATTATCAAGATGAGAAAACTGGGCTACCAAAGCACATCATCTGGGCAAAGTGAAGAAATTAAGGAAAAATAGAAGATAATAATATACCCTTAGGAGGTGACCTAATACAAATATTTAAATATGCTTTGTAAAGAGGAATCACAGACTGATTTTTAACTGGTTACAAGGTAAACTCTGAGTGCTTCCTCGCATCAGTAGGTGTGATAAGACCAAGGATTCTGCGGTAAGGAATTGTACCACGACCTAAGGTTATTGGTAATAGTGGAGGTGCTTTGGTGTTTATCAGAAACCATGAGAAAATAAGTTGAAATGTTATGTTGTGCCTCACCTTTCTTTGTTGCAAGTCAAGCAAAAGGAAAGCCTGCTCTTGAGCAAAAGGTGTACAGAAGACACTACCTGTATGATTTACCTGAAATGGTGCCATTTCCAGGTGAACAGATACAGACACCTTCACAGGCTTGACTTCGCCCCGACACCTACGCCCCACCAGGAACTACTCTTTAGAGGTGAAGGTGCGTTGGTTCACAAGCATTCCGTGGCAGATGAAGGCTGTCAGGCTGTCCTTTGTCACCTCAACCCCTCGTCACTCCTGTGAAGCAACAAGTCTAGCTCCTGCCAGCGCCCGCCGCGCGCCGGGGCCAAATCCCTTCGCCCGCACGAGGAAGGGCCTTTACCTCCACGTGGATGCAAGTGAAGCCAAGAAGATCCCCATAGCTGCAGGGAAGCTTTCATATTTGTTTATTTAGTCTGTTGAAGTTTAGGTGTTTATTTAGACGCGGGAAAAAAAATCCCCGGCAGTGAGGAGGGAGGACAAGGGAGAGTGTGCCTTCCCTCACCGCCGGTCCCCAGGCGGGCGCTGCCCTCGCCCGAGGTGCGGCTCTGCACCGGCCAGCGGCCTCGTTCCCGGCCCCGGCGAGGGGGGGAGGATATCGAAGCGTGCGCCCACGGGCACAGCCCCCCCCCCCTCCCCGCAACTCCGTGCAAACCGACCCTGGCCGCCCGTTCCCTCCTCGGCCCGCGGGCGCCAGGGCCGGCTGCGCTTCCCGCGCCGGTTCCCGCCCGGGAGGCGATGGCGGGAGGGAGCGCTGGGCCCAGCCGGGCCGGGCCGGGCCAGGCCGCGGCCCCCGACGCCGTCGCTTAGCAACGGCTCCCGCCCTCCCGGCCAATCGGCGGCGCGCTCGGTAACGGCCGGCAACCCGGAAGCAGAGGGCGCTCTGCCCCGCCCCCGCGGCGGAGGCGTGGCGGCGGGCGGGGCGGGGGGGGGGGAGGGGAGCTCGTCCGCTCCCTCCCCGCGGGGGCACCGAGCGCGAAGCCTCCGCCGCCGCGCACCGCGGCCACTGTCGCACCCAAGCACCCACCGCCCCGGCGGTCCCACCCCCCCCCCCCCCCGCCACCACACACCACCTCAGCGCTGCCGCCGCCCTCCCCGTCGCCGCGCTCAGGCCCCTCCTGGCCGGTGCGTCCCGCCGAGCCCGGTCCGGCGGCGGCGGGCGGAGGAGGGGGCTGCTGAGCGGCGTCTGCCGGAGCCAACGGGCGGCGGGAAGGGGGGCGGGCGCTGCGGGGGTGTCGGGTTAGAGCGAGGCGTGACCCAGCTGACGGGCGCCGTGCGGAGCCGGGCGGCGGGCGCGGAGCCGGAGGGGAGCGGTAGCAGCAGCAGCCGGTGGCGGCGCGCGGCGTCGGTAGCTGTCGGCTCTGGCGCGGCGTTTCATCCACCCCCTCGTGAGCCTGGGGAACCTGCAGCTCAAAGCCGCCGCCAGCCACACCACCATGTACCCCGGCAACAAGCGGAAAAAGCTCTGGCGGGAGGAGAAAGGTATCGCCGCCCTTCCCGGTACCGGGCCGCGGGCCCGCTTCTCCCGCCTTTACCTCGCGTTGACCCGTGAGGGGAGCGCGTGTGTGTGTGGGGGGGTCCCGTTCCCGCGGAGCCGCCGCCTCGCTGGGGGGTGCCCGGCGGCGCTTCCCGCGCCCGGGGCTGAGGTGACGGGCTGGGGGAGGGGGGGGCGCTCCGTGCTTTCTAACGTTGCCCCTGACGTCTTCCCCCCCCCCCCCCCCCCCCCCCAAACACCCGCAAATCCCGCACAGTCGGGGTTCCGCCCTCCGGGGTGCCTAAAAGTGGGGGGACCCGGGATGGGGGGGGGGGGTTGTCCCCCCCACCGCTTCGCTTATCGCTGACTAACTTTGGCTGTGAGGAAGGAGGCTGGGGGGGGGGGGGGGAACAACAGCCCCTCTCCTGAGGGCTTCCCGCCCCCAAGTCACCTTGTGGAAGTATTTCAGGCCGAAAAGTTAGGCACGTGCCCTCAAAACGTGCCTTTTCTCATTTTAGTGCGTATGTTTTCCGGGCAAAATATGGTTTATTGGTATCATTGCTGTAATGCACTTGGGTTTAGCTTCTAGTGTTGATTAGCCAGGGTGAAATGTTTGGGGGCTCTCAAAGCACATGCCTTTATTTTATTTATTTATTTTTTTTTTTTTAAGGACCCCCACCCTGTGTCGGCTCGGTTTATAAAACCCCAGTGTCAAACTCCAGAGCATGAGAACTGTAGGACAAGCAATTTATGTAGACCTTGCCATTTTGATAGTTTTTATATTGATCATGAGGAAAGTGATGTAGACATTAAGAGACACTCACACAGTGGAAGTATGATATTTACATTGGCTAGGAGGAAACACTTCTTGCCTGGTGTATTTACAGATAACCTAGAAATATATAAGGAGGAGAGGAAGGAAAACAAAACCACATCAGCAGGTCATATTTCAATCTTTTTTTCTTTTTCCATCAACCCTGTGTGTGTGTGTGTCTCAAGCCAAGAAGACAGAAGCTGGGTTCGAAGGACAGTATTTGACCGTTTTGCCTGTGGCAGAAATCAAGTGCACATTTCTAAGGAAGAATTGTTAAAACACAGATAAACTGATTTCTCTGTAGCTTAGCTGTTCTGTCAAACTCTTCTTCAATGAAGTGAGTTTTGTTGCATGCTTTTCTCTTTCAAAACTGCCTTACAAAACACGTTTCTGTAGTTAAGGTGAGGCAACAGATTTCCACCAGATGTTTTAAGTCTCTATTTTCAACAGAGAAGATATAGTTAAATTTTATCAGACATTGCTTATGCGTGATCAACTATAACCGACTTCACCTCTGCCAGTCCTTAATGCTGTATGCCATTACTGTCAAAATTGCTGGTTTTGTGCTGGGTGCGGGTGGGTAAAGATTTCTGGTAGGCTCTGGTGAGTGTTCCCGTTACTCCCGCTTGCTGCTTCGAGCTCCACTACTGTCTGTGTGAATTCGTAGCCTGGCATGTGAACTTGAACCCTTGGTAAGGAGGGTTGAGTGGAGGGGCTGGCGGGTAAGCTGGAAACCTGAGCTGCAGGCATGCTTTCATTGTCTTAGCTGTGAGGATGGTGGTCTCCCTCGGAACGGTGATGTTACTGAATGCAAACCGCAGCTCAAAACTGCTGGTGAGATTTTTACTATCCGGGGAAGCACGTTGGTGAGTGCTAGCTGGCCAGAACTTGGTGTCTCTTTGCATAGTGAGAACAGTGTTTGCCAGTCTTCTGCTTCAGTTACTCCTTTCCAGCACCATGCTGAGGGTGCTGACCTTGAGTATTGTGAGTGAGGAGGGTAGGAAAAACTTCAGTGTTCACTGTTGGTACTGCTCTTCAGCTTGTAGCCCCACGTGACTGTTCTTACCAAGTACCTTCTCTGCTAGAGTTGAAAACTATAGAAGCTCAACTTCTTTCCTTCCTACCCAGATTGTACTTTTGAAATGAAATCTGTTGAGTCTGCCTTTACCTTTCCCAGGGACTCCTGAACACCTGTAAAGCTGGCTGTGCGTGCTGGTTCTACTCTTCCCATGAAGCTCTGAGTGCAATCCTTCTCAGCGTTTTATATTCTGATGAACTTTTTAAGAAGAAAAATCACTGATAGCTAAATATTGAGTTCAAGCCCACTGACAATACACTTGCTTTTCTTAATTACTTTCTTGGTAATTAAGGGTTGGTCCATGCTCTCCCAGGAGACTCCCTGCTTGAGGACAGCTGAAACAGAATAGGAGTGGGACTGGAGTCGATGTCAGTCTTAGACACGGGACTACTCTGCCTGAAAACTTTCAAAGGCACTTCATAAAGCTACAGGCAGAAAACCGTACTTGTGGCTAAGGCTGTTGGAATTGTCTTCCTGGAGGTTTGTGTATAATTTAGTTTAAGTTTTCACTGCTTACTCACAAGAACAGAGTTTTAGAAAACCTTCCTGTAGAGAGGAACTTGTGTTTTGAAGTCACAGGACTGGCTCTGTAACCTCTTCAGCAAAAGGCATTCAAATTTCTTTTGCTTGTCAGTCCCTCAAACCTGACATGCACAGACACACACACTCTCAGGTTTGCCTTTCTTTAGTACTTCTAACTTGCACGTTAAATGCTTGGTGTTCTGTATGTTTGAAGATCAAGTAATGGAGTTAAGTGCATATCTGTTGTGCAAAATGACAATCCTAATCACATTAGCTTTACTTTTGCTTTTACTTTAATTTATCCAATTAAGATACCAAGCCTGAATAATGGGACAGAAATGTTTTTGTTGACTGAAGAAATTAGTAATACTGTCAAAAATATCAAAATAAACTTATCGTGATAAGGGAGTCTGTCCTCAAAACCTGCCTCTGGTTATTATGCTGTGCTGATCTGCATAATTAGGAAACTTTATTTGGGCGGGGGGGAAAAAAACAAAACAAACCAAAAAAACCAACAGAACCCAGTGAAAGATTTTTCTGTCTTTTTGTTTTTTTTTTTTAAGGTTTGATCTGAGAAGCAGTTTTCATGTTCAGCTTGCTCACTGCTTCTTCAACTCGAGATGAAAATATTCTTTTCATGTCCATCTAGTCCTTTGTGCCACAGGCAAATAATATGAGTCTAGTCTTCTCTTACATCCCTAAAAACTCTTGAATAGTCGAAGAGCATTTATTACTGATTAACGTGTCAAGAAAAACTACTAGTATGGTAGTAGTAGTACAGTGCCACTGGATAAAGCAGATCCAGAGAGCTGATTAGCACATGGGTGTCATGATATGCTCTACAGTTTGGGTGTTGGGTTTTTTCCCTCCTTCCCCAACCCCTTTTGGAAGGGGAGAGGCTGTGCATCTTGTGCTGAGCTAATACTAAGCATGGCTGAGGTGGGGAGGGAGAAGAGGACGTGGCTGTAAAAATAGGGTACGGGGTCTTGCTGAAGCACTGAGGTTGTTTGCAGTGTTGGGTCATTGGGATGTTTTTTTCTTATATTGGAACTCAGTCCATTTAGAGCAAGATCTGAAGAAGGGAGAAGTTGACAGTAGCTGTCATAATTGTACAATCTTTGAGACTTTACTTTTCACTAAATGTCTGAAAAAAAAAAAAATGATGTGGTGACTTTTTCAGGTGGAAACAACCATCCATATTGGTTTTAATGTGGTGACTGAGTGGGTCAGATTAATGCTCAAATAAAAATTGAAAGCTTAACCCGTGCCACTCTCTTTAAACCCAGGTTCTGTTTTACAGCACTTCAAATCTAGCAGATGCAGTTCATGCTGGTCCTGGCCTACTTTTTAGAAACACGTTTAGCTGGTGGATGGCAGTGGGCTTTCTAGCACTTGGGATGATGTTCAAACAAAGTTTGTCAAACTTACATACTTGCATTACTTCCTCTTGGATATCTAATGGGTATCAGTAGCTGTAGAAAATGCTGATGTTTTTTGGCCCAAGATGGGATTAAATGCCACTGGGTGAGTCCAGAGCTGATGACAGTGGTTTTCTCATGCTGAAAATGACATTGTTAGCAGAACAAAAAACCCAACCAAAGATGCCTTTTTGATCACGCTGGCCATCTAGAAAGTGACATAACACTTGTTTTAGCTCTCATTTCTTTTGTAATGTAGTAGCGCTTTGTTAATTTTGTGCCCTGCTCCCTGCCTTTACTTGCTGGCATTGGTCAACTCATTTCAGTAAAATGTTTCAGTTTTGATCTTTCACTTTTTATTTTAAGTTCTGGTTTACAAATGCAGAACCTGAAGAATAGACTTTAACCTTGAAAACTCTCTATAAAACAACAATTCCCTACTTGAAAAACCTTGCTGTTAGTTCTTTGATCCTTTAATTAAAGTGGCAGGAATAAGAGGCACAGTAGTATGCGGGGAGGAAGTCTGGACAGTTGATAGAGCGGTGAGGAGGCATTTCTTTTTGCTGAACTAGGATATCCAGAAATAGGTGCATGCAGTTGTTTAGATGCACTGTGTTTAGCTCCTATTACTTGTAACTCATTGAATCGCTCATGCTTGCTTCTCTCAAATGGGATTTAATTGCATCAAGGACACCAAGTTGGTCACTGCTTGGCCAATGTGCAAGAATATATGAAAGCTTGCAAAACTTCTTTTATTTCTCTTTCCTCTAAACAGAGCGTCTGCTGAAGATGACCTTGGAAGAAAGACGCAAAGAGTACTTAAGGGATTATGTTGCATTGAAAAATATCCCAACATGGATGGAAGACTTAAAAAATAAGAGTGAAAGTGATGGTAAGTAAAACAGGGTAATCTTTTTAAATATAGAGCATTCTGTTTCCTCAATCTGAAGTTACTTCTAGGAGGGCCAAGACTTAGAACCTGTGTTGTTACTAACGGTGGCAGCCTAACGTTAGGACAAAAGCACTTGGGAGGCAGGGGGGAAAAACCCCAGCAAAACTTCTTAGACTCACTAGTGTCCACTAATTCTGCAACTATCCCCAGATTGAGTCATAGAAACACAAATACCCTTAAGTGTGTAAAATAGCTATTCTCGATGTGAGTCAGTCTTACTTTCCCGGTGTTCTGGCAGTCAGCTATGCCTGATGAAGTTTGTCTTTGAAACTTAACAAGCATAATGATATGGGGAATCTGGCCAAAATAGCGTTGTTCTTGTAGGTGGCTGAAAAGCAGATAGTAAGCTTGCAAGTTGTGTTTTGTTTTCTGAAAATCCAGAAGTGAGAGAAGATTGGATTTGAAGCCTCTTTTACTTATGGTCTTGCCTGCTTTCTGGGGCTGAGGGACATCAGCCTGGCCTGGATTAACTCCCCTTCTCTTGGCGTGTGCAGTGTTACCACAGTTACGATCACCACTAGAACTGTCTAAATACTCGCAGTGAAGGCTGACTGAAAATGTGAATCCTATTCACTTAGACAACTCTGTGTTCTGTATGTAATTTTGTAACAGTGGCTCATTCTTCATCTAGCTCCTTCTCCTACATAAGAGTGTGGAAGAAGGGTGACTTCTGAGCTGGTTTCCTTCTTTTTTCTTTCTATGGCCTGTTATCCCACTTGGCTGAAGTTTGTGGTTTTTGGAGGGGGATTTAACTGATACCTAAAGTGTTTTTTGCTTCGGCTTCCTGCAGAAGCAGGAAACTAGTTTTAAGACCCTTTTATTATCATTAAGGGCAAGTACTGGCCTGTGTGATCACCTGTTTAGAGTAGTCTTGTGGCTGCAGGGGAACATGGTCTTTATGATAATATTCTGGGTGAGATGAGGCCTGGAACTAATCAGCTGTTTATAATAAAATGGCAAAGCTGTAACACTTACTTTAGCACAATCTGGAAGAGCTGGTAGATTTACAGGTGCCATTGTCATAGACAACTAATGCTGTCATCTACTCCTAAAAGAATCTTTCATGACTTTGGAAGTGAAAGTATGTCAGAGGTTGCTGAGCTCTTCAATGCTGGTGACTAGTTGTGTTGTGACTACCCATAGACTTCTTTCTCCCATTAGAGTAGGTCTCTTACCTCACAACATCAAGAAGCCAGTCCATCTAGAAAACAAAGGCTGCATAAAAATAAAAAAGATTACCTGACTTCTCCAAAGCTCATTTCGGAGGCCTGTGGTACATGGGGATATGCAGTATATCATGTGGTTTAACTGGGAGACTACCCATTCTAGCCAAAGCTATGTTTTTATTCTAACTACTCTCAGATTCTGTATAACGTGCTAAAATTCACAGATCTTGTATTACTTGAGCTGCTGAATGTGACAAAGTGTGGATTTACGCTGTGATTGCTGTTACACTTCACATAAGCAAAATGTCAGTGTCTAATATGCGGGTATTGAATCACGGCAGTGGTGAATTTATTTTCTTATAGCCGTTCTTGCACTCTTTCTGTTAGTACCCAGTACACTGCAAAAATGCTTGAAGGCAGAAGTTGTGCTGAAACACTTCTCTGCTACTTGAAGCTTTTGTTATACTATACATTCAGGAGAAAATAGCCCTAGTCACTTGTCTTCTCTGATGTATTTGTAAATAAGCCATGTGGAATGGTGAACTTCTAGAAGGTTAGGCTGCTGAAATGCTTCCACATTTCAGTTGGTCAGTACAATTAAAAGAAATATGTATATTCATGTGACTGTTTCAAATTTTATTTCCCTTAAATGTTGACACCATTCTGAAGGTATCATATGTAATAACAGTCTTAACTATAATACCGAAAAATTAGAATTTAAGTCTTAACACTGAGAACTTCTGGTCTGTGTACTGGGGCATACAGAAGGCAACTGGTACAACCTAAATGAGACTCTGGAGAGAGCAAGTGAAGCCCCAGATATGATGAAGTCTGTGATGTTTTGACAGCATTATGCCCAAGTTCTGATATTTTCTTCAATTGAAAGGCAAATTCTTGCAGTGACAAACTAAAGAGGTCTGAAGAGGGAGGGGGTTGGAAATTCTCTGTATGCTTGACAAGCCAAAACAGCAACTGATGGGGAACGTGGAAAAAGTTCTTTACCATTTACTTCCGACACTGTATACAGTGGAAAAAATGGCAGATTGATTAGTAAAGTGTGGAGTGGCTGTTCAGGAAGAGTGATGAGGAGAAATCAAGAAAAGAACCAAGAACAAATAAAGTGAAGCAGGTGCAATCAATCAGCTGCTGGAATAAGAAGCTGTAGAAGTGGAGAGCATCTGGGCTGGCAGTAATCCCTGTAGATACTCAACTGGAGATTAAGGGTGTTCAGTACTGCACAAATTTTTGCACTGACTGCAAAGAAAACTTGTGTGAACAATACAAGAGCTTTGTGTTACTCATTTTTAAATGCAAATGACTTGCTGGAAGGTGTTAGGAGGTTCCAGTTAGGCACGCATTTTTGTTATATGAAAGTTTAACGGATGATTATTGAAAAGTCTGCAAGCAGAACTGCTGAAATGACCTAAAAGGTTCATGTTGGGAAGGAACCAACCTGACTGCCATGATACCTCTGCATGCTCTTTATTGACACATTTGGTGAACATACCTTAGTTTGTGGAGGCAAGTGTTTCTTCCCCAACCTTCCTTCTCTACCCTTTGGCATAAAATTGTGTTGAGAAGTAAATTCTGAAGAGAACCAGTAAAGCTTGGAATTAGTTGATGTTAAGGTAAATTTTGGCAAGGCTTGGAAGTCTTTCTAACAGGGTTGTGTAACAGTGTAAAGGCTTCTAAAGAGTGAAGATGGGGAATTAGGAACAGCAGCTGAGAAGGACTTTGTATTTTTTTTTTTTCTTTATAGCAGCAAAGGTGTTTGAAAACATTTGGAAGTTTAAAACAGCTGTGTATATTTTTTTGTCTTTGTTTTGCTTTTCTGTGACTAAAAAACCCACGATTTTTTCAGGTCTCCTCATATGGGGCCTTAAGAAATTACATTGGTGTGTATTTTGGCATGGAATATGGTCCAGGTTTGTGATACTTTTTTGGGTTGGGGGATGGAGGGGGTGTGGCACAGTGTAGAATGCAGGGACTAAGCCTGGTGCCCACTGCTCTGAACTGAGGGAAGCAAGCTCTTGTGGGTATGTGCATTTCCAGAGGGCTACCTTGTCAACACCCCTGGGTTTTGGCATACAAATTGCCAGGCAGCACAAGTGGACCTCAGAGGCGAAGTTGTTATAACACTGTCCGTTTTCCTTGCCTTGCTGTTAAGTGGGCCTCTTTAATGTCAGAGGGAATGGTAGGAAGCAGAAGAAATTCTTGTTCTCGAAGTAGATTTGTAGACGTAAGCTTTCTTTGTTTTAAACACATTTATTAAGGAAATGAGGAGCTGTCTGTCCACTTTGGAAATGAAGAATGAGCCTGTCCTGCAGGGCTGGACAGTACGTATGTAGTGTAATCCATCGATCCTCCCACTTCTTAGCCTTCAGATACACCAAAAGCAGACACATCTCATCTGTTTTGTTACGTACTTTGAAGCAGAGTTCCTTCCTGTCAACGTGCAAAGAATGGACTTGTTTTCTGAAGTTCTGGATTTATATACCTTTATGTCAATGCTGTATATTATGTACCACGTTATGCCTAGGCACTCATCCTGTACAGCAGTGGTAGCTTATGTTTTGTGACGCTTGGTGAGTAAAATTTCACCATGTAGACAACTAACTAGAGTGTTTTTTGAAGTTAAATACGTATCTAAGTTTTTTTTTTTTTTTTTTTTTTGGTTTCACAGTTATTCCTGAAGATGTTTTAACTCTTCAGTGTAGAATGTGAGAGATAATTTTAGAGAGCTTTCTTTTAGAAGCTTTTTGAAAAATTAGGGTCTCAGGAGTTCTGTTGTCACTGAGTTTTATGTGTCACTGGTAGAAGAATGTTTTGTTGATTAATGGAATAATTTAGAAAATGGCATAAATTGTATAGTTTTACTCAAGGCAGCTGATAGTCCTGACTCTTTCAGCCTTTGGGATGCATTGGTATAGCAGCAGTGCCAAGAAAACAGAAAATCCTAGTGATAGTTTAAAGATTTTGCTAATGGTAAGAACTGCTTTTGATTGAATGAAGTTAAAAAGAAAGAACAGTGTAACTGTTGAGTTTTAAAATTTTTTTATTTAAGATTAAATGATGTGAAAGGTCTACAGTCCTTTTTTATTTTTAAGCAAATCTTTAAGTATGTTTAGATGTTTTGGCATCCTCTGGATTTTTTTTAATCTGCTGTATTTTTAGAAAATGATATGGTTCAAACTGTATTCAAATTAATCTACTTTAACACTGAGGGTTTTATGTATAATAGTAAGGTTTGGATTTAATAAAAGCATTTTTGTACTGTGAATCTCTAGCTTTCTAAATATTCACAGTGAGTTGACAGAAGATTATAGAGACAAAGCATCTCAGTGAGCCACTCAAAATGCTTCATGCTGAAGGCAAGCTGTCTGGTAATATTGACTCTCTGATTTCTTGAGATGGTTAACTAATCACAGGTAATGCTGGGTTCTTCGGATCATCTCCATGTGGCCCCGTTTGATGTGAATATCTGTCCAGCAGGAACCAGGAATCAAGGTGGTGATCATCAAACAGCCTTGGGAAAGTAATGCCGTTACTAAGATGCAGTGAAATTCATCCAGGTGTCTGCAAGCAAGAAATAGCATCTAACTCTGTTGTTATTTTCAGTGAGTTATGCAGAAAAATAGATCATGGTTTCCTGGAAGGTTAAGACTGTAAAAAGTTGCCCAGCAATCAGTGAGTTCTGTCTGTAATGGCTGCGTGAAACCAGTACGCTTCAAGACCATCCCCCCACCAAAAAACTAAGTCCATCAGCTTGCATTA